GCTTTGTAGTTCAGGCTGGTCTCGAACTCACGGCGATCCTCCTGCTCAACCTCCCAAGTGCTGGATTAGAGGTGTGCACCACCACACCTGGCAATTCTTTATACTTTAGTGATATAGTTGGGAACATCTTTTATGATGTGTGTTTTATCTTTTAACATTGTTTTTGCTGTTTTATATAAAACCTTAAAACATTTTATTTAATCCTAACTATCAATTTCTTTCCCTTTATGGTTTGGTTTCATATTTAGAAAATCCCTCCACTGGGGCTGAAGACTTAGCTCAGTGGTTCCGCCGCCTGCTTCCCAAGAGCAAGGTCCAGAGTTCGATCCCCAGTACCAAAAAAAAGAGGAAAAAAGAAAAATCCCTCCACTGTAGCATAAATTTCCATATATTTTGTCTAAGGTTCTTTTTAAACCATAAGTTCCTTCTGTGACATATTTTCCTATATAATGTAAGGTAAAGAAGTTACTGAATTCTTCCCAACATGTCAGCCTACTGCTTCAATACTGTTTACTGAATCTTTTTCTGAAACAACCCTTTCCCTTGTATTAAAAATGTCACCCTATCACACACTATTTTCTTATGTATATCTGGCACTATTTCTCCCCTATTCCATCGATCTGAACTGTTTTTAGTGGTCAAACCTAACTTTAAAAATTATCATCTCTTATAATACATTTTAATATCTCCTCACCAATTTTCCTAATCTCTCTGGCCTCAGAAAATCTATAATTACTGAGAGCTGAATGAAGATAATTCCGTGAGACCCTCATCGTTGAGATATATTTTACCAAAGGGAAAAAAGTCCATGAAAATGTCAGCATCAGCTAGGGGAGATATCATACAGAGCCCTTAAATAGCTTCCTTCAAATCCCAGAAAGACCTGCAAGGCTCACTGCAGGACACAGGACACAGGACACGTGCTGGCCCAAGGTCAACTTCTAGTGTTACATCACGGGCAATGCAGGCTAAGCCCATATCGCGGTAAGTCAACTAACTGTAGATATTTTATTTCCTCTCCAGCTGTTCTAAAGCACTATGCATTAGGAGATTCTGGTGCAGTAAAAATGTAACAAATATATCCGCCAGGGACTTGTTTAGAAGTTGTTGTTCAAACCAAGACTCTCCTTAAAGTCAACCCTAGGCACTCACCCAGCGAAGGCGAAGGTTTTCCCTTTGGCATCTGGATCTTTAATTGCATTGACAATTCCTGCAGCTACATCAACAACCTATAGCAATTAAAACTTAGGTTTAAATCATTGTTGAAGGGAGCGCAAAAGGAGAAGGAGAAATTAGGAGGGAAGGAGGAGGAGGGGAAGGGAACAAAGGGAGAAAGGAAAGCAGGCAACCCCACTCACAACACATATGTGACAAAATTTTAAAGATGGCATCATCTATTTTCAGGAAGCTTCCTTAAAACCAGCCTTCTCAAGAACTCAAATAATCCCCTCATTCAGTGCTCTCCTACGGATTGTCTCTAGTCAGAAGCATTTGTCTTCAGATGGCTCTGGCCCTTCGGCTTCCGTTTTCCTCCATCACTGATCTCTTCTCTTACCACTCCGCCCACAACAAACTACCAGCAGACTGAACTGCTATATTCTAGAATAATGATTCTCAAAAATAGTAGTTTCATATCGCTTTAGACCCACGGTTCTCATTAGGGATGATATGGGCCCCTAGGGAAAACCCGGCCTAACTGTCACAACAGGAAGGGTAGGTCTACTGGCATCTGATGGCTAAAGGACAGAAATGGTGTTAAACATCCTACAACAGCCACCACAACAAAGCACTAGTTAGCCCCCAATGTCAGTGCTGCCAGTGAGGAAACCCTGGCTCAACCTAACAAGGAATCCAACATGCTCCTCCACCTCTGGGCCCCTGTGTGTACTGCTTACTCTGCATGAAGTAAAAACCCTCCCCAGCTTCCTTCATATGACTTCCTGTTAGACAACTTTCTTCTGAGAGGCCCAAGCCCTCTGGTATAATTACATAAGACCTTCTGCCTATGACAGCACCTACCACACTGCATGGTAACTCCCTTACTTACCTGGCTCTGCTGGAGAACAATGTGAAGACAGCAGCTGGTCTGTCTATCTATTACCTCTACACAAACAGTGTGCCTAGTGCGTTAAAGGTTTGGTAAAGCTTTCTTAAATGAATGAACAAGTGAAGATGGATGCCAAGAAGACTCATACCTCATAAATAAACTGAGAAGCAACAAGTTGAAGTATGTTGACACAGAAGGCAACAATGAAGTAGCGAGAATGAAGCAGCGGAATAAAGTCAGAAAACTGATCATCCAAACCCAAATTCTCCAGGTACTTACATACACTGGTTGCTTCACTGTCTTCAAGCCCAAGGAAATAAGAGGCAGACCAACAAAATAACGCATATCTGGCAGAAGAAATGAGAACAATGCTTAGAAGGCCTAAGCTGCTATAAGACTCACCAAGCTCTAGGTTAACATAGTTGTTTTACAAAACAAAAAATAATATAAGGAAGCTAATGATCCTAAAAGAAGCAATCATTTGTTTTTCAGACAGTAAACATGAAAAGTAAAAAGGCCAAACATTTAAGGACAAAGACAAGAAGGCAGAGGGGTGGCATGGCTTGGCAACGCCTCCTATTCTCCACTGCCAACTGCATGGTCATTCCCAGGATGGGGCTTTAACTGCACTCTATTCTAGGAGGAACACAAGAATGAACAGATAAGTGATATGGTATAGGTGACCTAGGAAAAAAGCTCTGGTTAAAAATGAGAATTTTGTATGAATAGAGCATCAAAAATCTGTGGAAAATGAAAATATTATTTAATACATGGTACTGTGATGACTGTTCTACTATTTGAAAAATGTAAAAGATACTGGCTTACTTTTCACCATAAAGTAAAATAAATCCCAAATAGATTAAATGTAAAAGAAAAATTTTAAAGCATCTAAAAGTAGAAATTATTTACAATAACATCAAAAAATACTACAAATAATCAAAGTAGTGAAAAAACATACATTAAAAATTACAAAATGTTACAAAAAGAAATTTAAAAAGCTATAAACAGAGAGACATCCTAGTTCACAGATTGGAAGACTTCTTGTTACAAGATGGCTTAAATGTATCTCTTCTAAAATTCAGGTGTTGTCACACAGTGGTATAAAACAGTGGGGCTTTTAAGAGACGATTAAACCAAGGGGGCACCTGCTTCATAAACAGAATCATGGTCTTTATAACAGAGGTGTCAAACAGTGTTCTGCTAGTCTGCTCTTCCGCCACATAAGGATATAGCATCAACCCTTTACCATCCCATTTTCCGCAGTGTTTTAACATAGCAAGAAGGCCCTCATAAGAGGCTGATGCCTTGATCTCAGATTTATGAGCTTCTGAAACTATGAGTAAGATGTTTCTTTTCTTTATCAATTTCCCAGTCTCAGGTATTTTGTTATAGCAGATATCAATACTAGGACAGATATCAATACTATCCAAAGCAATCTTCATGATAGACTCAATGGTGATTTTCATAGAAAGAAAATCCATCCTGAAATGCATATGGAATTTCAAGGGACCCTGAACAGCCAAACAACTGTAAAAAAAGAACAAGCTGAAGTCTTATACTTCTGCTGTCGATGCTTACTACAAAGCCACAGTACTCCAATCAGCTAGCTGTACAGTGATCACAACAGTGGCATAATGTCAGACACAGACATATGGGGGCCATGAAGTAAAATAGAGAAAAACAACTGTGCGTAAACAGCCAAATGATTTTTCCTCTTTTTAATAAGAGAAGAAGACAATTTATTTGAAATGGGGAAAGAGGAAGAGAGATGACAGAAGGCTACTCTGGACGAAAGTGAACAGCTCCCAAATGCTTTTCCTAAGGCCGCCAAGCCCGTTCAGCGGAAAGGACAGACCTCAGCAAGTGGCACTGGGAAAACTCGACATCGACATGTGGAAGAATAAAAATGGACCCTATATTATACCATATGCCAAAAAGTAACTCAAAAAGGGTTTAAACCAAAGAGCTGAAACCATAAAATTCTTACAAGAAAACAGAGGAAAATCTTCATGACATTGGAGTTGGCAGTGATGTCTTAGATATGATACCAAAAGCACAAGTAACCGAAGTAAAAATAAATTGAATTATATCAAAATAAAAAACTTCTGTGCCCCAAAGGACAAAGTTAATAGAGTGAAGAGGCAACCTACAGAGTAAGAAATATTTGCAAATCATGCATTGAATAAATGTTTCATATTCGGAATATAAAAAGAACTATAACTCAACAGCAAAATAAGGCAATAAAATTTTTAAATGGCCAAAGGACACAAATGGGCATTTCTTCACACAAGTTATACAAATGGCCAACGAGTACATGTGAAAATGCTTAATATCACTTAATCATGACTAACCAGAGAAATCTAACTGAAAACCACAAGGAGATTTTCATCACAGCTGACTAGTGGCAGCTGCATGTGAGGCTCTGAAAAACAGGTACACAGAAACGGGTAGCAAGAAAGCCAGAAACAGAAGACAAACTGAAGGGCCAGGCACAAACTAGATACGCCCAGCCCAAAAGGGAGAAACAGGAAAGCAAAATGGCTGACCAGTCCCAAGCACATCCTAAATCTAACAAGGCAGATTCCACCTAATCCTGGTAAACCTTAAGGCTCTTAGCCCTTCCATGGCGCCCCCCACCCTCTGAGCTGACTGGCTCACTGTCGGAAGCCACTGGCTAGTGGCCCTCCGCTCAGAATCTGCGGGATAGGACCCAGCCCAGCAGCTCTAGAGGCTGTGGAGGGCCTCCCCTCCAGGCACAAGGCCTCTTCTTCTCCAAGACTCTGGGCTCCGGTAGAGGTCACAGGGCACGTGAGACCCAAGAGGTAGCTCTGAACACCTCTGAACCGGTTTTGGGGTCATTCTTACCTTTTCTCCACACAGCTCTGGGGCCTGGGCCTGCAGGGGCCTGACAGCCCCCTTCCATTCTGTCCTCCCTTCTCTTTCCCCTCTAGTTCAGAATGAGAGTGTCTGCTGATGCAAGGCTGTCTCTACTCCTGCTTCCCCGAGATGATGGCTGACCGGTCCACCAGTCACACCTATGATCTCTTTATCAACCACAACCCTAATTTCTCTTTAAAACAAGATTTCTCATGTTTTGCGATATGGATCAGCTGGGAATTTTTCAAATCTCCGGGTTCTGGTTCCTTAATGCTTGCTCAACTTATCTTTCTGCTTTCACAGTCAGGAAGGATAAAGGCACTTCTTCATCACTCTGCTGAGCAATCTTCTCAGCTAAATAACCAGCCTCATCACCTGCAAGTTCGTCCTACCTTCTATAGGATCCCAGCCCAGTTAAGCCGGATTTTTGCCTCTGTACAGCACAGTTCACCTTTCCTCCAGTTTCCAAAGCACCTTCCTCCTTTCCACCTGAGCTCTCATGGAAGTCTTCCTCCCCAGCCATATTTCTAGTACACGCCTCAGAATCCCTCTGTCCTATACCCATTACTCTGTTCCAGAAGTGCTTCCTCATCTTTTGGTACTTGTAACATTAGCTCCTCACTTGCCAGTGTCAAAATCTGCCTCAATTTGTTCAAGCTATCATAATCACATACCAAAGACTCGGTGGTTTAAACAACAGGATTTATTTACCCAAAGCTCTAGAAGCTGAGAAGACCAAGACCAAAGTGCCAGCCCACTGGGCTCCTGGTGGGGCCTCTTCCTGGCTTGTGGGTGGCCAATGTGTCCCTGTGCTCCCATATGACCCCTCTTCCATGGATGCACAGGAGAAAGATATCTCTTCAGAAGGTCATCAGGACCCCAGCCTTGCAACCTCCTTTAACCCTAATGATCACCCAAACTCCCTACATTCAAATAAAGTCACACTAGAAGTTAAGGCTTCAACATACGAATTTGGGGGAGACATAATTTAGTATAAATCTTATATTACCTATATTGTGCCACAATTTAAAAAATAAAGTGGAAATTAACACAGAATATCAGAAGATACAATCAGCAGAAAACACACAATACATCAAAACAAAAAGGTACATCTATACAAGGAAATACCATTTAGCTTTACAGAAAGAATGAGCTACCAAGCCATGAAAAGATGTGAGAAAAACTTAAATGTACACTGTTGTGTAAAAGTCCATCTGAAAAGGCTACATAGTGTATAATTTCAACCACATAATATTTTGAAAAAGACAGAATTATGGGGACAGTAAAAAGACTGGTGGTTGGGGTGGGAAGGAGGAGGAGAGGGACAAACACGTGGAATTCAACTGAGGAGAGGCCAGGGGATCTATCCTGATAATATCCCAGTGTCTGGCTGAGCACAGAGCAGGGAGGACAAGATCTCCCCCAGATCTCTAACTCTCAAGTGCATGCTTTCCATTAACGTAGGTCACTCCTTTGGGTCACTGACTCCACCTGCTTCAGGAGCTGAAGGAAAACAAAATTGGTGCCACTGTAAATCCACTGCTACTACTGATCTTAACTGGACCCTCACTTATTCCCCAAAATAGGAAAGACCATATCGACTATAAAAATATAACCTTTGTCTGTCAAATCAGAGAACACTGTCAGCTTGTGCTGAACTTTAACTTGATTAACCAGCATCCATGTTTCCCACTATTAAGAGAGAACACAGGGCTGGGGATTTAGCTCAGTGGTGCCGCTGCCTGCCTCGCAACTGCAAGGTCCTGAGTTCCATCCCCCCTACCAAAAAAAAAAAAGAAAGAAAGAACACATACTTGCAAAACGATTGAGGAATCGATCCTCTCTTCCAAAGATGTCCGATGGCTTTATGATCGTGGCTTCCGGAAATGCGTCTCTCACTTCTTTCTCTCCAACAGCCTGAACAACCAAAAACAAAACTGTTCTGACACCCTGCCCTTATAATGTCTGCTGGGGTTCTTTCTGTTTTTATTCCAGGGGAGCTTATGCTGAAGAAGAGAGAAAAGTCAGAGCAGTGTTTTCCAGCCTCCGTTTTTCTTCTTATTCACAAGGCCTCCAGTTTGTCTGCAACCTAGCAGCCTGCCAGTGAAAGGAGAACATGGTGGCTGTGGACAACACTGACGGAGGTGGCAGAGGACAGACCTATCCAGAGTCAGCCCCTGGCCTCCCTAATCCCAGCTGCCGTAACGGTGATCATCTACTCCCGAGCTGAGCCCGCTTGTCCGCCTGTAGCACTGCTGTGGGTGACATCACCACCCACGGGGACGTGGGCCTCTCAAAGGCCTCCTCTTCACTCCTCCTCGGGCACCCTCAGCTCAGTGGTACCACAGGCCTCACCAACGACACAACGGGCCTGTTTGACATGCTAAATGAAGACTCCTGCTCTCGGATGACAACCTACACATGCACCCTGCTTGCTGGTTCGTCTGCTCCCAGGGCGCCTGGTCCTCAGCCTTCACAGGAACCCTGCCCACTGACTATGTTTTCCCTCCACGGACCCCACCCCACCTTTCCAGGCCTCCCCTCTGTACCCAGATGAGATCGCACAGCTCATTTCATCTCTTACCTACTGTCTCCTGTAAACTACCTGTGCCTGGGCCCTTTGTGCACCACCAGGCAAACCCTAATCTTGCTTTACCTCCACCATCTTTAACAACCTGAGGAAAGTAAATAAATACAAATCATAAAGTGGTACCACCATAAATCCATGCCAGATTTTAACTGGGCTCTTGTTTTTCCCAGAAATACTATTTTTCTCTCATTGATTTATTCTTCCACATAACAATTTTAAGGATTTCCTATTTTATTCAAATTTCAGGCTTCTCTCTCTATCCCCTTCTTTCCAGTAAATGATTTCACCTTCTAATTGCAGGAGAAAACAGAAGATAGCTGAAGAAAACCACCTCAAGTCCTCACCACTAAATCATAATCACACCCTGGCGTGTGAAGCCCCATGGTCTTCTCCTCTCCCACCACAGAGGGGCAGAGCCACAGCCAGGCTCTGGTGCCCCCTCCCGGGGGCGCTGGACCCACTCCTCTCACCTTCTAAGGAACCTGCCCAATTTACTGGCCACCCCATAGGTTCAGTGCTGCTCTCTTTAGCAACACCTCCCACAACCATTTAAACAATGGCGACCCTCTGCTGTAAATGTATAAAGAAGGTCCCACTCCACTTCCCCTCCCAGCTTCTACTTCTCTGCTCGCTCTTCGGCCAACTACTTGCAAATGTACCTCCCTTCCTGTGCCGCTGCCTCTGCTCCAGTTCACCCATTCCTTCACTGCCCTCTGGACTCTGGGTCAACGCTTGCACTTCAACTACTTTTGACAAGGTTACTTTGACGAGATGACCTTAATGTCAGCAGATCCAAGACTTCCCAGCTGCCACCTTGCTTGATGGCGCAGGGGCATGGTTAAGTAACTTTTCCCTCCTTGTGACACTGCCTTCTCTGGCTTCCAGAACGTGTGGCCTCTCTGGTTTCCCTTCTGCCTTACCATACCCACTCTGCTCAGTGTGTCTGTTTATATTTGGTTTTCGCATGTGTCTCCTCCATCAGAGAACTAATCATGGTTATTACTCCATGCCCAGTTCAAAGTCCTCTTCTCAACCAATTTACTCATGAGGCCATTTTATGCCCTTTTGCTAACAACAAATGGTGGCTGACTCCAATTTATATCTACAAAACCCAACTGATCTTCTGAGCTCGAGGGTCATAAACTCATTTCACCACAGCTACCTGAATGACTAATATACCCCGGAAACCCAAGTCCAACACTGGACCATCTTCTACTCCCTCAAGTGAAATAGTCCTCCTCAATTTTGCTGCTCTTGGAATAATCGAGAGAGTCTGAAAAACTACTAATGCTCATGTTTCACACCCAGAGACTTTGTTTTAATTGGTTTGTGATGCACCTCGGGCATCAGGAGTTTTTAAGTCTTCCTCGGTGATTCTAACTGGAAACTAAGGCTAAGAACTCTACCCCAAAAGTCTAGTTTTTCTCATGTATCTGCATCACCACCCACCCAGTGGCTGAAGCCAAGGAGCCAGATGGCATTGACATTCCTCTTTACTGCCACGAACACCCCAAGCCCTTCTAAACAATCGTGAAACCCAGACGACTTTAGTGCTGGGGCAGAGGCAGGCAGGAGTGCCCTTGTTCTCATTTCCTCTCTGTCCAAGGTGGCCCAGGCACGCCTCAGCCAGCTCTATGACTACACAAGACAGAGCTCATGTAGAGAGGTCAGCGCAGGCAGAAGCAGAGAACACAGCAGGAGCCCTGCTCCCCGGCACCAACCCTCTGTGGCTGAGGCTCTCTTGCTGGATCTCGTGGACAGGGGGACCTGTAAACTCTATGTTTAAGGCAGTTCACACAGGCTTCTCTGCTGCTAGTAATGGTGTGTTCCCAACAGGCATCCTCTTGCTTATCATCTGCTCCTGTAGTACAGTTTGCTACTTTGTGACACTTGGTGCATCCAGAATTATATTTCCTGGGGAGCCAGGCCTTGCTATGGACTAGGGCCAGGCCTGTTTTACTGACCACTGTATCCCCAGCACCTAACAGAATATGCGGCACAAGATCAGTGCTTAATAAATAATGAGTGGGTCAGAAAGCCAGAGCCATTTGCAAGGACTCCACTGCCCTTACCGGGATGATTACAGATGGGCTCATGATGGCAGGAGCCACACACTAAGGGCAGACCAGACTCTCATTCTCCCTGTCGGTCCCTGAGAATGAGACTCCAAAACACAGTGGTCAACCCCTGCGAGAATCCGACTCCAGCGTCGTTTCTGGGAGCACAAGAGGACTAAATTCTGTGAAGAGCCATTTTCCTTAGCAAATATTTGTCCCTGTCATTCTTGGTCTTCATATCACCTATGGCAGAATGGTATAAACCTGGGGCCAGGCAAGAAGACTGAGGAAGAAAAATGACCCTTTAAGCACAGCAAGTGATCCCAGGATGCTTCCTTTGAGGGCAGCTAATAATACAGTCTGTCCACTTGTGAAGCCTCTCAGCATTTAAATAGAAGGCATGCAACCAAATACCAGCACACAGCACACACACACCCCTAATGCTGGGGACAGAGAAGCCCTGAAATTCTCAACACACTGGTGAAGCCTTTCTCACTTACATCACGTTTCAAGGGTCCAAGAAACTCTAGCTCTGTGAGGCACCTGCCTGACCGACTCGTTAGTTACCTTATTTCTCAGGTATTTGGAAGAGCTTTTAATGTCAGCATTCAGATGAGAAACATGAATGAGTTTTTCAACTCCAGCTTCCTTGGACACTTGAGCTATTGCTTGGGGAATCTTTACAAAAACATCCTCAAAATCAAAGTTTCTGAAAGAAAAAATAAAAGATTAGTTAAGACCTCCAGACTCAGAATTTCAAAGGTTTTGGGATATGCTCATTTTCACAACAGTGGAATTCACAGCAAACTTTTAAACAGTCATGCTTTAGTTCTAAGTCAAAATTAATGTTTCTCAAAGTTGACAGGTGAGCTCACTGTCATTACTGTACCTAGCACAACTCTACACTGTAAATCCAGCACAGGTAATATTCTGTGTTCTCAAGGAATCCTGAGGCTGAGGCCCTTTAAGAAAACCTGGCTTCCCAGGCCTGGTGCCACACACCTTTAATCCCAGCACTTGGGAGGCTGAGGCAGGTGGATTGCCATGCATTCAAGGCCAGCCTGGGATACATAGTGAGTTCAAAGCCAGCCCGAACTACATAGAGAGACCCTGACAAAAAACAAAACAAAACAAAACACCTAGTTGTGTGGTTAGTGATGAGGAAAGAAGTGCTGGGAGCTGGACAGGGAATTACTTCTCACTGCCCCCACTTTACTTCCCTTGAAAGTAAAAGGGAAACTGAAAAAAGGTCACCGATTCAATGCCTAACATTAACTATGTTTACTCTGTACGAGTCACTGTATTAGTCAACAGAAAAGATACAACATTAAACAAGAACCTATACAGCATCAAAGATCTTGGAAACTATTTAATGAAACAGACATGTACAAACAAATCTGACTCAGCCTTTAATAAATGCAAAGTGTGTGGGACTATAAGATAAAAACTTTATTTGTTGATAATTCACAGGAAGGCTAAACAAACTTGTTCAAATCAGTACTGACACCATCTTCAACAATCAGTGTGCAGAAGGAATCTAAAACACTGTCCACACAAGAAAAACCAACACTCGGCTTGCTGAACCATGACACAGGCAAAATCCTACTCCCTAACCCCACCCCAGATTGGCAGAGCCAAGGACAGGTCCAACTCCAGAACTGCTCAAGTTGTTCACACCAACCACACCGACAGACATGGACCACATGCTGCCGTGACCTTGACAGCCACACCAGCTAAGTGGCAGCACACTGCACTGCAGCCTCATACACACACCCCAACCAAGCCGAGGGCAGTCACTGGGATGTGAACGGACACGCAAACAACCCTTACTGATGATCCAATGAAAATGTCACTACAGTGCCAAGAGACGTCTACTGAGCCCTACAGACTTATGCAGAAAAAGGGATATGAGAGCCTGAAACTCACGTGGTTTCCCAGTCTCGTCCCACGAGGTTGATGACCACATTGCTGTGCTGCACTGCTCTTCGGACAGAATCTCTGTCTCTCGCATCCCATTCCTATAACAGTCACAGCCGCCAGTCAGAGGAAAGTATCAGGGCACACAGTGTGCCTAACACTTCAGGGCTCTCAGGCATGGTTCAGAGTGGGCCACCCGTGTGGTCCTACTGTGGTGCCTTTCACACAGGCTCCATGGGCACAGCCGAAATGACGCCAAGGCCTCAGGCTCCCTGCAGATTCCAACTTCTGCAGACTGCTAGGTCGAAGCCCCTTTACTCAGGTAACCCAACGACAGACCTAAAAACGGTGCTGCTCATATCTAAAGGAGGGTACTCACTTCAGTCCACCCAAGTGCCCCTCACATTTGTAGAGGTACCCAGTAATCAGTCTCCCACAACACAGCCAGAAAACAACAGATCCTCTGGGAGGAAAACAGGCTTCCTCTTGCTGGCAGAAACCAGCTAGCGACAAAAGACAGGAGGAATGTCTTTCAAAGCCTAGCATCAAATGGGAGGCATTTGTGAGTATGTACTTCTTTATTTTTTAAATTCTTTCCAGTTTTATAATCCTAGATCTAGTAATTTCTACTTTAAAATATGAAAACAGACCGGGCATGACGGCACACACCTATAATCTAAGCACTCTGAAAGGCTGAGGCAGAAGAATTACAAGTTCAAGTTCAGCTTGGGCAATTTAACAACTTAGTGAGACCCTGTCTCAAAATAAAAAGTAAAAAAGGGGTGGGGATGTAGGTCAGTGTGAAGGACCTGTATTCAATCCCAGTACAGGAGAGGGAAAGGCATGAAAACAAGAGTCAGAGAGAAGCAAACTGCCTCAAACCTCAGGTTTCGGCACAGAATTATACTTCGGAGCAGTTTATAAATGAGTTAGAATTTAAGTCAGGTTGATGAACCTGCCCAAAACAGTGACCAGGGATTAAATAATTCCAGGAAAAAAGTACAGTATATTGACAAACAGAAATTGAACTCCATAAGCATTTCAATGGGAGACAAAAAGAAGAATTTCCTACAGCTGAATAATATGGCTGAATACTACGTGCCTGTGGATGAATCAGTGCCCTGGGAAGGGAAGGGAGTGAGAAGGGGAAGAAAGGGAGAGGGTCGGGGACAGTGGGAGAGACAGAGAAAGCGGACATGAATGTACTAAGGTCTGTGCAACTTAGAAAAGAGGGAAATCAGCTCCGAGTACATAAAGATGAAGCCCCGGCAGGAAGAATGGGTTAGGGCTACTGACGGAGAGCAGAGCACAGGCGACCACAGAGAATAGTAGTGCTGGTGTCACACAGGCAGAAATGCAGCCCTAGCTTGCCGCGTACTAATATTGTATAAGTTACCTCTCCAAGCCCCATGTAAAGTTAGAAATTGCAACCTACTTGGTGTGGTGGAAGACATGAAATATAACAAAATCTGCAGCAGTGAGGGACATACTCAACAAACAACTAGCTCTATACATCAAGAGTCAAAAAGGCTTTTTCAGAAAAGACGTCAAGGGCAGGGGAGGAAGAAGTCAAGATGGCTCGGGGTAGAGGAGCTTGAGGCATAACTGCATCCAGTACCCAAGAGCCCAGAGGAAAGTCCCAAAGGAAAACAGATTCTCTGGAGAAAGTCCAGAGGGCACAATAAACCAAGTAGCCATCTAGACAGCAATTTCAAACAGGGACGAAAGTAGGGAAATCACACCCACCCCCAAAATGGGCCTTCCTTCTCAGAAATAAACACTAAACATAGCAAGAAACTGAGTCCCCTGTGACACGCTCTGAGCTCAACTCAATGCCAGGCACTCAGTAAATAAGTATCTGCAGGAAGAGAATAAATGCCATACAGCTGTTTCGGTGACCCCACATCTGCCAGCTAGGCAACGGTTTCACCTAGCACTTGTGAAATACTTTACAGACACTAAGGCCACCAATGAACGAGTCACAAAGAAGCAGGGGGAAGGCAAACTCTTGCAACAATAAAAACAAGAAAATGATAATAAAATTTTAGAAAAGAAAAACATTTTAGGAACAAGAAACTTCTAATTTAAGTATTATAGTTAGCTTCTGAGCATTCAGTAAAGAATAAGAAAATACCACTTAAAGTCCAAATTTACAGGGATTTCAAATAATCCGCATGAACACAACGTCAGAGATACTAGGGATGTTTACCTAACATTTTTCAAAAGGAAAAGTGTGTAAATGGAAGCGTCTAGTTCTGTGGTTCAGAGTAGGAAGCGGCTAAAAGCACAGTGAAGCCAAGCATCCGACTGAAAAGGGAGCAACCAGCCTGAGAATGGCTTCAAGCATTTCTGAGGCAGTACAACTCTGCGTGGACGCCACAGGGCAGCGACAGCAAACCCTTAAGAGACCGAGGACACAAACTGCTCGTGACGTCATCACCCAGCGCCTCTACTCCGTTCCGAGCATGCGCACGGCCTCTGTGTGGGAGCCACTGTGGGCGCTGTGACTGACGCCCAGGGGATGCTGGGGTGCCTTGGCTCAAGTGCCGAGAGAGGGCTCTACGTGCCCACTGCGGCATGCATGCCATAGGTTCGCCATCACTGCTGTAGGGTATTTAGCATCCTCAGCCTCCATCTGATAGGCCAGTACGGCTCTCCAACCACTGCACCCCAAAGGAGGCCCACATATTCTTAACCCCTGGCTGAAAGGCTCTCCCTGTCCCTCTGCCCTCTGCCTTACATTGCTGGCAATACTGACCTAAAGGAAAAAGCTGTAATTAGAGAGTGACAACAGGGAATGTTTATAAAGCACAGTTAGCAAGCAGGCTAAGTTATAAGCGTCCTGTTTATAATTTTTTTCTATGAAAGTACTGTTCAATAGAAACATAACACAAGACACATATAATTCTAAATTTTCTACTTTCTGAATCTTTTACGTTCTGAATTTTCTACTAGGCATATTCGCAAAAATAAAAAAATCCATTTTAATAATATATTTCATTTAACTTGAAATATCTAAAATATTATTTCAATATGTAGTAACTAAAATTATTAATGATATACTGAATACTATTTTCTTCACACTAAGTCTTTTAAATCTGTATTTTAGACCCACAACACAACTCGATTTAGGCTAGGCATATTTCAAGTGCTTAACATGGGGCTAGCAGGTACCACACTGGACAGCACTAGACTAGAGCAGGGGTTAGCAAGCTATAGCCTTCAGGCCAAAAAATGTGGCCTACAGCTTAATTTTGTAAATAAAGTTTTATTGGAACAGAGGCACACGCATTGGCACATGAGCACACCCATTGGTTTATATGCTGTCTATGGCCGCTTGAGGGATACAAGGGCAGAGCTTAGTAATTATGACAATACTCTATGACCTGCAGAGCCTAAATTTTTACTATCTGGTCCCTTACAAAAGGTTTGCCAACTGCTAGCCAGGCATGGAGGTGCACACTTGTAATCCTAGCACTTGGGAGACTGAGGCAGGATCACTGTGAGTTCGAGGCCAGCCTGGACTACAGAGTGAGTTCAAGGCCAGCCTGAATGACACAGTGAGACTTTGTCTCAAAAAGCCAAAAAGAAGAAGAAGGAGAAGGAGGATGAGGAGGAGGAGGAGAAAGTTTGCCAACTGATCTAGAGTTTGCATACCAAGTCAAGAGATCCAGGAACCTAACTGAAAGAATCTCCTATGAATGGAGGCTGCCCTTGACTCATTCGGGGATAAAACTGCTGCTTTATTATACTGTCTCTCACTCCTAAAAATGACCTGAGTAATTTGTATTTGCTAACTGAAATTATCAGCCATCAAGGTCTTACCAGAAAGGTAAGCTGGCCCAGGTCACCCATGGGCCGAAGACGCATGATGTCGTAAGTATCACACCGATAGGGTATGATCACCTGAGATCCCATCCGTCCTAAAACATAAGATGAAACCAGGATCAACATCTACAGAATATGGATACATTACACAATAATGACACAGTAGATATCTAAATTCTGGTATACATGGATTGATATCATATTTGACTAAGAAGCATATCTGCCATGCTAAAGACGCTATAACTTTCCAGGCTCCCTTACTCTCATCTTATGTCCTGTATAGCACATAAAAATTCCATAAATCCAAGACAGAAGTTGCATACTGTTAAAATGAGGAGAAACCCAGCTCATGGCCTCTCACTGGGCAATCCTGAAGAATGGTAGGAAAGCACACTGAACTCAATAATGCTACTTACCAAGGCGGTTGACAACATAGCGGCCCAGGAATCCTGTTGCTCCGAACACAGTGGCCACTACCCCACTGATGGAGGAACGCCCACCTTTCCCATGAGGCAGGACTGCATGATGAAGCTGGCAGTGGGGCAGGCCCTGAAATGGAGATGTGGCTATTGCACTAATGGCAGAACCTAAAAGGAAATCACAGAGTACACAAAGGTGGCAAATGTTAATAGAAAAATAACCGAGAAAACATTAACTTCTCTCCCTGAAAACTTCTAACACTATTTTGTGATCACTACCTTGGTAATTCAAGTAGCAACAGCAATAATAAAGTATTACAACACAAAACCTCTAGGACATGAGAAAAATATATAAAAATTAGAAAGTAAACTCCATGCTTCTATAGGATATAATTTATCTAGAAAGATAAATCACATTAAGTCACATTATCATGAGAAAGGATTCTTGGGTAATGTGTTTTGAGAAAGGTTTTCAGGAGGAATAACACAAATAGGAGAATTCATTGAGAAACACTAAACACATGTAACAGAGGTAGGAAGGAATAATACTGATGCAGGGTAACAGTAAAGGACCTATGTGGAAGAGACTCTGAAACTGATGACTCATGAAAAACAAAGTTGTGGTATGGGTTAGGGGCAGAGAATTGTTGGTACAAAGCATTAAAAAGTACAGATCAGACCTAATATACAAACCAATGAAAAACATCAGAAATGGGGAGGAGAAAGTGATTGAGAAAAAATTTTCTGACTTTGAGAAGGTGAATAGTAAGTGATTTGTCAAATCTCCCATCACTTCTTCGTGGATTCGTGTCCCTAGAGGAAACCTTCAAAGCCTGCCTCAGTGTACCATCTCCACAGTATGCGTGCAGGTGCCCTGCCCTTAGCTGCAACACCTGTTGGGGGAGACAAACTGTTTCCTATAGCAGCCCGTATCTGCTGGGAGCCAGCCTAACAGCTGGCAGGTCTTACCATCAGGGGAAGCAGTGACCGCTTCTCTGCATTTTTATTCTTGTCTTCTTTGGGAGTGAAGAAGAACAAGTCTAATCCCTCTTCTACATCTAAGTACAGCAATTATAGCAATGTTAAGCAATTCTTACCTCAAAAGCAAATTTCCTAGAAAAATATAGTGCTGGAAATCTACTTGAGATTAAAATAATTTAATTCACAGTTAATTCAGAGCTTTCTCTGGCTTCACTGTCTTCTGCTCGGGAGCAAACAGAAAATACTGGTAAAGTTTGGGGTAATAAGGGTCATTACTTCCTATGACAAAGGGAGATGGGCTGGAGGGCGAAAATGTATGAAAGGGAATAAACGATGAATAAGGAAGGAAGTAAAGATAATCCACCATGGTGATCACTGTTCTAAACTCCGCTTGGCTTTCAAAAGCTTCATCTGATCTCATGTTACACATCCAACTTCTTTCTTTCCCCTTATCCCAGAGATATGCAGTCATTTCACTGCCTCCATGAGCACCTTATGACTCCATTCCATCACACTTTTGCCATTGGAAAATCCCCAACACCTGACTTTCCAGATCCTGAAAACACTAAACAGATTGACATACAGGCACCACTTCTCCATTCCTCTTCCAATCTTCCCTCACTATCTAAAATGACAACTCTTTCCCTTTTCTGATTTTGTATTATACTTAAGAGTTCTGTCACATGTAAGCACATAAAATTGTTTCATACAGTTCTGTACTAGTGTTTTGACTATGCTACTCTCTAGACTAGCATCTCCAGTTTATTCAAAAGCTTATTTTACCAGAGACAATAAGCTGACTACTCTCACAAGCATAAGCTACAGTATCTGTTAAAGAAAACTAAGCTTGAGGGGGTAAAAAAGTAATGAAAACACCCAGAAGTGTTATATATAGTAGGTATTAAAAAGTTATAATTCATAATGTACATGATGTCTCGCTAATGTAATAGTTCAGCCAGAACCAGCAAATGCCTTTGGAAATAAATCATGGCTACAAAACCATCCACAATAAATGACGTGCACCACCTTTCTTCCCAATGGTATGTAGTTCTAACAAAGATGAAAAACAAAAAAGGGCCCCCTAAACCCTCTTGATTCTCTCCTCAGCTGAACATCAGAACTACGTATAGTGCTTTAAAATTTTAAGGTGCAAGAAGCTAATCTCAACATTTTGGATGTGGTATTTCTACAATGAGTCGCCACTTGGACTCTTCATAAAGCTCTAAGAGGGATTCTGACACCCAATTTTGACAGCAAATTATTATACTATAACGACTAAAATACACTATGGAAAAATAAATTTTTGTGGGTTGATTGCAGCATGTTGGTGAAGCAGAGGGTGAAACAATGACGATAAAGTGTAGCTGTATGTCTAATTTTTTAGCTTTTCTTGTGTTTGGTGACTGAAAAAAACAAACGTATTTTCAATTTGAGGACTAAGAACAGATTCAATCAGTGTAGAATGGAAAACAAAATGGAAAATGCTGACAAGTTCTAACATGTCCTTCACTCTTCTTCACTATCCTTTCCAACAAGTTCCTGCTTCTTTCCACAAACATCCCTGTCTCCCCCAGGCCCCAGGGCCCCGAGCTAACATATTCTACATCTGTAGAGACGCTTTTGGTTAGAAAGTCTTTTATAAACATTAGCATTTCTTTTAATCTTCTCAGAGATCTCCTGACGTTGTGAGATGATCATTTCCATTGTGATATGAAGAATCTGAAATTGAGACTGATGGTTTGCGCAAGGTCGTGAAGTCAATAACCCACGAGAAATTTCTCCGCTACCCATTTTTCTTCTCCCTTTTAGGCGCCTCTCCCGAATCATTCAAATATTTCTCAAAACCCCAAACCCTTACAACCCTACAGGACTGATTATCTCGATCCTTTAAGGGTTCCTCTTTCTCCTCTTCCTTTCCCACTGCTCATGTTCTTTCGTCTCCTTCCCCAGTGTACAATAGGTAAACCCGGGAGGTGGAGAAGTAAAGGAGAAACTAGGCAGGAGAAACTAGGCATAAGAAACGCCGAACCCAGACAAACCAGGCTGCCCAGTGAATCGGCGGACCGCTGTGGCGCAGCGCTAGTCCCGAAGCCTTTGAGTCCCGTCTCGGAATCTCGACTGGGGGCCGCAGCTCCCTTTGACACTTACGTGACATTGGGAAACCCAGGACAATCCGCGGGCGAGCGGCGGCCGCCATCTTCTCCCATAATCCCCCTCGGCTCGCGTTCCGGCCGACTACGGCGACTCCTCTGGACCAAATATTCTTTCCCACGCCTGTCTGCGCAGGCGCTAACTCGGAAGGGCGGCGTTATAGGGTGGGCGGGGAGCTCGGTTGAGAAAGGAGCCTGGAAGGTAGAAGGGACGGGAAAGGAGGAAAAGGAAGAGGGGAAGAAAGAAAAAGAATTTTGGAATTTTAGCTCTGAATAGACCGTAAAGCTAAGCTCATAATGCTGAGGAACCTGAAATTTAGAGCCATCCGAGGACTCTAGGGCGCACAAAATGGCAGAACCCAAGGTGGAGGAGCTCAACTTTCCTCTCAGTTCTGGCTTTCTCGACGAGACCACATAGGGCAGCCCTGGTGGGGCCGGGGATAAGGAGGAGGTGTGGCCCTGCGCTCGAGAAATTTCTAAGAGAAAGGGTGGGAAAGAATAGAAATGAAGACGGGCCCCGAATAGATGCGAGCCGAGTCAGCCAGGATATTGTTTCGTCTGGGCCCTGTGCTTTGGTGTCCCCTTTGCATGGAAGGCTCAGGTGCCTGCACCAGCTCAGGTCTGCGCTTCGGTGACTTCTTTGGAGGCTTCGCTCACTGTCGTACCCAGGTGGTGATCATTCCACCTGCTCTTGTTTGTTTTGTTTAAACAAAGTACTTATCATCTATGGATGAACCCAGGAATTCTTAACCTGGAGTGCGATTCCTGAGTGGGCTTCAGAAAATCTGAAACCCCTAAAGTGTTATATAAAATTCAATGGCCCTGTGTACTAGCTGCATGTTTTTCTACCAGAAAACTACAGATGGCCCTCTCTAGTGTTACGGTTTCTAGTGTGTTTTTTTTCTTTAAATTATGGATCCCTTTGAGAATTTGCATTGTTCTAGAGACACCTGGAGCCTGAGGAGGTTCCGGAAAAATAAGACTATAAACTTGCATTTTTTTTTTTACTTGCATTTTAAAATACTTTATTCTGCCAGGCATAGCGGCGCACACCTCTTGATCTCAGCACTCGGGGCTGAGGCAAGAGGATTGCCTGAACTACATAGCAAGACTCTGTCTCCAAAAAAACAAAAAAAAAAGTTTATTCTGGTCATCTCTTGAAATCCCTGAGAAGACAACCAATGATCCTATGAGACATACACTGTGGGCTTATCAGAAAACAACCTCGTTTGGGGAACTCTTTCTAGATTTAGTAATTCCTTGAGTGATTTGTGTGTGTTGCTGGGATGGACAACAAGCTATAGTGAGTAGGAGGTGCCTCTATCACTAGGCACGTAAGACCCCGTTTCCACTTTGTACCACCCTACTGCTTACTAAAGTGTCATGCAAATTGAATTGGAAGAAAAAAGAGACCCTTGAATTTGGTCAGAGAAGCTTAGTAACGCTATATGGCCTTTTTTTTTTTTTTTTGCCTCATTCTGTTCACTTAGTGCTTATTATTTGCTAATATTGTACTTGACTAATAACACTTTCCTGCATCTGATAAATTAGCGAGCCTCAGTGTCATTACCAACCTCCTAACTCCTGTGTAAATGTTGTGTAACATCTCTTAGTCAGACACTGCCTCACGTTCTCAATTGTAGTTTCAGGATATCCTGGTATAGTTGAAAGAGCACGGATTTTAACGCATAGAATATTAGATCCTCCAGTGCCACTTCTACCAGTTATTAGTTGTGACCTGAACAAGATTCTACACCTAACAGGGAAAATAATACCTTCCTTGTCTCAAAAAGTTATTGTGAGAATCAGATGACATAATGGATGTGAAGGGAGTTTTGTCAAGTGCAAAGTGCTATGTGCAGATTCATGATTATTCAAATAACCACTGAAGTATTCAAACCATTGAATGCCAAAAGTGGAAAGAATCTTAAGAAACTAACAAGCCCAGTTTATTTTACTTTTTTTTTTTCTTTTTTGTGCCAGGGATCAAACTTGGGACCTTGCGCTTGCGAGGCAGGCGCCGGAACCACTGAGCTAAATCCCCGGGCCAAGCCCAGTTTATTTTAAAGAAGAAACTGAGACCTAATATAAAAGATAACTTAGTTGAAGGAAGCCTGTAATAAACCAATCACTTTTGAATATTGCAATTTTAATCTATACCTCATCTTTTCCTTGATTGGAAGTTTTTTGCTTCATGGAAAATTTCCTATCATTAATTAAAGAGTATCTATGGTAACATTTTCAAAGAGTATATTGAAAAGTCTTCCTCAGTCTAGAAGGAATCACCAACAAAATGCCTCTTGGTCCTCCTATGAAGTATTGCAAGGAGTAAGCATTACTTTATTTCTGACCATCAGAGATAAATTATAACCCAAATGTGGTCAGTTTAGGCAAAATAGCCCCAAAGTTTTTTTTTTCTTCTTACAGATAAAATGCTTACAAAAAGTCCAGGCTGGATCCCAAAAATGAAGTGAGTCCATGGGCTTCCTGCAAGAAGTTTAGTAAACCCTCAATTCTTTTATTTCACGTTCTCTGCAACTATCTAGACTTGTTTACTCTGCAGTTTTAAATGAAATATATTGGCACAATATTCCTTCCTATATTACCCCACCTAAATTAAACATTGAAAGGAGTGAATTAAGAGAAAACAAGCCTAATCCTTCCAGAGTAAACACCAGAGCTTTGGGGTGTAGCTATGCCTCTCCTCTTATCCTTTGAATCTCAAATTGTGGACACCTTACAGTGTTGATATAGAGACAGTGATATCATCAGTTGCGATTCTGATGTCATCCCTCAGTCCTAACAAAGGAGGTGCATGGAAAGCTGGGGGAGAAAACAAGATCTTGAGCTGAGCAAGAACATCCCAGCATCTTCACTGACTTTAAAAAGTATATTTTGGAGTCTTCTGAGGTTCACTAATCCAGGGCTACAGAGGTAGGAGAGCCCAGTGGACTGATGAAACAGTCTGATCTGTGGATAGAAGGGAGAATTCATGTGACAAGTGATGGGCAACTTTATGTTCAACCCAGCCTTATTCTTCTGCCCGGCCCATTTTAATTTTACCTTTGAATCCTCTGGAAAGGAGTTTCTGCCTCAGCAGCATTACGCCTACCAGCTTTACTGCTCACATTCTGACTTTGTTAATGGATTTGAACAGATCTCTCCTTGGCCATCCTTTAGGGACCAGGAGGGGATCCCACTCCCTTCTCTGTGTGGTGCTAAGAGTGGGAGCTTGCCTACTTACTAGCTTTTCTTTTTTGTTGTCTGGCTGTTCCATATGTTCTTTCTGGTGCTCTGAGAATCAAATCAGACTGGTATACCCCTTGAGTCCAATTCTCATGCATTTTAATCCTCTTTTTATTTCTGAATCCTTGGTAAGACAACAGAGTACTGGAGATGGGCAGGATTTATATAACTATGTAAATAAAGTATCTGAGAAAGAAGCTATTATTACTAAGGAAAGGCAAAAATAAGGGTTCCATGGGAGATCTTGACAATGAATGGTGAAGCTGGGTGTGGTGGCACACACTTGTAATCCCAGCACTCAGGAGGCTGAGGCAGGAGAACAGCCAAGAGTTCAAGACTGGCCTGGACTACATAATGTGTTCAAGGCCAGCCTGACCAACACAGTGACAACCTGTCTAAAAAATGGTGAGAAAGAAACACACATCTTTATTCAAAGCAAAATCAGTTGAAACTTTGATATCAGCAACAACCGAATATATTGAGCTTCTGCAGTGTAGCAGCCACTTCCAGAAAGGGAGAAAAAAGCTGGGCATTGTGGCATATGCCTGAAATTCCAGCACTCTGAGAGGTGGAGGTGAGAGGATTGCAATTTAAAAAATAAATAAGGGCTAGAGATTTAGCTCAGTGGCGCCTCGCTTGCCTCACAAATGCAAGGTCCTGAATTCAATCTCCGGTACCAAGAAAAAGACAAAAAAGGTCTGAAGATGTAGCTAAGTATGAAAGCCCTGTGTTCGATCCTCAGTATTGGGGAGAAAGGGGGAGAGAAGGATAAATATATGTGTAGCAACCCCACAAGGTCTTCATTTATGCTGCCTGTAATTTAGTTTTTCATAAATTTAGGAAATCAGTAAATAGGAACCTCTTGCTTAAGATGGATACAGGAGAATATGTCTTCAGATGGAGCTGTGGTCTAGAATATAGCAGCCACACCCTTTATTGCTTGTGCCCTCCCACTGGCAATCATGATTTGCACTGCATCCTCGTCAATTCAAGGTAATAATCACAATGGCGTTTTTGAAGAACATTTTCAGTTACTATCTCGATGACCATATAATCACTCTACTGGCCACAAGAAAATGCCACAGCTTTGAGGCTGTTAAACTGCCAAACTAGAATATCACAGAAATATATCCACTGGTTCTAATATTCCCTCTCTGGGCCTCAGTTTTCTAATCTGTAAGATGAGGGTGCTAGAATAAATGATAAATACAACTATAGATATATTTTATAGAGAGACTTTTCTGTTCTTATCAAATTAAATAGATAACACAAAACTTTTTTTTAATTTCCACCATATCTTTAGGATATTATTACCAACTTTTGAACTCATAAAGAAATGTATGAATTCCTTCACTGACTCTTTAGCTCTTCCTTTCTTTTTCACTTCGGTATGGGAAATGTACACATTGATTTGGACATCTGAAGTCACTGTCATCAAAAAGTATTTACCTCTTTGTATAAGCTATCATCCAGAACAAGTTAGGAAGTTTTAGTAGTCTAAAAACAAGCTTCATGATCAGATAATCACCCAGAGGAAACAGAAAATAGAAAGAACATCAGGACATATGTAAGTTGTGTTTGCTGGATATATTTAACAAGTAAGCGCTCTTTCTATGAAGAGTAAAAGAGCACATTGGGGATGTTGATTTATTAATATCCTTGGAATAAGAAGGTCTGTTACTAAGTCACAGGATAGGTCTCCAAGGTGTCAATTTCCAGGATGAACATCTGGAGGGAACAGCGAGGGATGGCAAGGGAAAGAGATGAAAAAAAGACATGTTGTGCACATATACAACCCTCCTACAATGAATGTAATTATTATGTACTATAAGCCTGTACTAATAAAAAATAAAATAAAATGCATATCTTAAAAAAAGAACATCTGAATGTATGCTTCAGATAGCAAATTTGAACAGGCAATTTATTTTTTTGTTCTCAGATTCTCCAATTTATAAAAGAGAAAATTGGCTCCTTGCAACTAGAAATAGGCAGAATTTGTATATTCATTCTTTCTGCTTATAATTATTAAGCACCAGCTTTAACATACTAGCTATGATGAGAAATACCAAGATTATTAATAGAGTGCTTCTGCCTTCATGAAGCCATCTACTGAAGGAGATAAAATATGTGTGAGCAATTACAGTCTTAGATGGGATTTAAAGGTTAAAATAAAATGAGGTTGTAATGAAATATGATGGAAACTTTGATGAGGGAGCAATCACATTCCACTAGGATCTTAGGAAAAGGGCTCAGAAAGGTTGGCGTTCAGAGCAACATTAAGGGAGCATGGGGCTGGCATGCTGGTCAGGCATCCAAAGTGAGAGCACAGTGACTTGGTGTCTTCTGTCAGAATGTCCCAGTGAGACAGCATAAGGAAGGTCACTGGAGCAGAACACACCAACTCCCTTTGTAGCATGAGGATGTGTATCATTGTCAAGTCTTCAAAGAAGTACTTACACAATGTTCTGAGATCCATGAATTCAAGGTGTTTATTGTCCATTCCAGCATTTATTTCCAAATTCCTGTTTATGCAAATTTGAGATTAAACTAAAGCCTTTCAGTGTCCTCATTGTTCAGTAAGCCTATACAACAGAGATTTGAAGGTAGAGAATAACATTAGTCATTTAGGAAATTATTGGCCAGAAAGCAGGACTTGTCCTCTTGGAACTGTCAGAATGCACTAAGAATGAGATGTAAATGTCATTTTGTGCTGATCACATGCATATGCATGTGAATATAATGAGTGAAAATCATTTTTTGGTAATAAGAGCAATAGGATTCCTACGTAACATTAGGCATCTTATTTTTGTCTTTCCATTGCCGATTCCTTATATATTACATGGCAGGAAGTATAGGTAAACTTAGTGATAGAGAAGACAACATCAAATTAATCAAGAGCTTTCCTCATATCTCAGAACCCATCCTCAGTAAGAGTAAGTAATCACATAATTTCCTTACTTTTCAAACTTAATTTTCATCTTTTTAATTATAGAAGATAAGTTAAATAAGGCAGTAGACCCTATTGATTTTGTCATTTTCTACTAAAAGCAACTCACAAGGATGAAATATAAATGAGAATAAGAGGCATATATTTCTGGCCCTCACACTGTTTACCATTTAGGATGATCTTCTAAATCTACCCATCCTTTGGCAAAGTAACAGTACCATTAATTCTTTTCTTCATAATCATGAGGCAAACCTAAGAATGTTTATATATAATACTGAGTACAATACCAAGTTTAACTTCATAGACATTAACAACTTCCTTTTTCAGGTAATCAAACAAGATAAAATACTAAACAAGCCAATAAACAAAACAAGATATTAAAAGAGGTTAGGAAGTCAATCTCAGACAAAATTTTTAAAGAGTAATTAACTATCTTTCCAAAGCTGGCCATGATTCTTAAAGGGAATCTCTCCAGATAAACCCTGGCACAGGGTTCTCATTTCTAGATATACATTAGACTCATTCAAGGAATGTTTAAGAAATTTAATGCCTACGTTCTCCCAATCTAAAAGCACCAAAATAAGATTTTCTGGGGGTAGTGCTCCATTTGACACCTTTATACAGTTCTCTGGGTGATCATAAGAGCTAGTAAACATGGAGAAACCACTCCTTACCCAAGGAGTCACTTATATTATGGCAAGTGGAAGAGTAATTTTATAAAACTGTTTTTCTAGCTTAGAAGTCAGAGTCAGTAATTGAGATGTGAAAATGGGAATAAAGCCTTGTGCAATCAATGAATAAGTAGCTCACAAAACATCTATTTTCTTCTTAATAATTATCCATAATATTCTGTGTAACAGAAATAGTGTATCACTTATATATGTTTAAACATGTATTTAATCTGTTTTTTATTTTGTTGGCTTTATTTTGAGGGAGAATGTCTACCTCATGACAGCCCAAAGTTTTAAAAATAAATATATTCAGTTAACCAGATATCCACCCCCAAATAATGCTCTATTTATTTCAAGCAATCCTTTATAAAAGACAATTCCAGCTTAAGATAACCTGTTGGGGCTTATTATAACTGAATTTAAACCAGTATTTTGTCAGAATCAAAATATAAAGATATACATCTGTTCCATGAGGATGCTCAGGACATTAGGCAGGCAAAATTGAGCATCTCATTCCATCTCATCCATTGAGTAGATCTGAGTGAGCCATGTTTGTGATTGAAAAAAAGGGAAATTTCAGTGTGAAAACGAGGAAACGAAAGTCTGACCCAGAAACAGAGGTAAAGAGAAGCTTCCCATCCCTTTAGACCAGTGCCTATCAGTGGATAATCCAAGTCACCGTGGTAGTTGGCACGTTCTCCAAGACCACCAAGTAAGAGGCACTGTTGTGGGAAGTCAACAGAACTAACACCAAAGGCCAAAAGAGTATGTGGAATAAGGATAAGAGATGGACCATAAAGACAGGGAAGAATAAACAGTTCACTTAAGAAAAATGACTGCAGTAGAAGAGAGAAATAGTAGCTAAGGGAGGTGTGGAGAGAGAGCAAACAACTCAGATGAGTCTCAGCTTTCTGGCTGAGAAGATCAGGTACATGGTAAAGCCATTACTGAGATGCAAGAATAGACCAAAATGTTGGGAGGGCTGAGAACAAATCCACCCTGGGAGGGATATCACTGAGTCCATGGACACTGGGTGGTACAGAGAGCATCGCTGTCTGGCATTAGAAATTTGGCTGAACGATGGGGGCTCGCTGATTGGAGGAGGAACTAGTCTCAAAGGATCTACTAAATGCATTGCTCTAGAAATTAATTTTTTAAAATAAGACATCTATGTCTTTAAAAATCACTTCATGGGGCAATAACAGCAACGGAGAACCAAAGTCTGTTATGTTCACATTTAGTTTTGACTCTCTGCTAAAAATCAAATAGGGGGAGCAAGAAGGTTTTCAAGCAAAGAACAAGAGCAGGATGCGGCTGCCTATTCCTTTAACAAACATGGTGAAGCATCAGCCTGTGCCAGGCAGCAGCCTCATCACTGCAGACATAATATGGTCAGGAAATCTTCCTGCAGTCGAGAGCTGAGATGAAGGTGTCCAGAGTTGAGTGGCTCTGAGCTGGCTCTTAGGGTACCTCTCTACAGGAGGTATTTTTCCTGCTTCCCGCATCTCCACAATTCCCCTTACTTCTCCTCACTGTCACATAACCTGTCCTTTGATGACTTTTCTTCTCTGCTTCCAGATGGCCAACAGGGTTGACTGGCTACAAAGCCAAAATGGAGTCTGCAAAGTTGATCTCTATTAGCCCGGAGAGGGCTATTCCCAGGACTGGAAAATGGTAAGGGTCAACCTCCTTTTTGTTTATTTGAGATGGGGTCTCACTGTGTAGCTCAAGCCTGCCTTGAACTTGCTATTATCCCAGGCTAAGCTCAAGTTCGCAATCCCCCTTCCCAGTCTTCTGGATGCTGGATTATAAGCATGCATCGACCTGCTCATAAACATCAGTTAGGGATTTGTGAGCGGTCATCAAGAGCAGCCTTGCTGTCTCCACCACCACCACCCACCTCTTATATTTTAAGGTGGGAAAAAATGAATACCTACAGAACAACATTTCCAAGTTTATCCAGCAAATTCTATATTTTTGGGAAAATGCTTTTTATATGGTACTTAGTAGGAGAAACATGCTGTAACTAATAAAAAGTATATATTACAGTTGAAAAAATTTGTGTAGTTTTTAAATAGATACGGATTGAAAATAAATGTCTCCAAAGCTCGTAGAAAATATTCTCTGAAATGTGGGTTGCCTTAGAATTCTGAGAACTCTAAGCTCTCCTCTCAGTAACACTGTCACTCTACCGTCACCCTTCAACACTTATTCTATGCTTAGTATCAGTCAGAGCACAGTCAAAAGATAGAAACCACACCAGTTGTTTTATGTTAAAAACTGTTTACTAGTAAAAGGCAGTTACTTACTAAAAGATTAAAAAGGAGTTTAGGAGTTCCAGAAATAGCACATTCAGAAAGCAGCTCCTCCCCTCTAAATGAGAGAAAGAATAAGAAAGAAGCTAAGAGCTCAAAGGGTCTCCCTCTCCCTCAGCCAAGGCTGCTTCTGGTCTCCTTGGACACAGAGTGGCTGCCACCAGGAGCTCGTCAGAAGGTACAAGCAAACCAGTAGGGAACCCTCTCCTCCAGCTGTGATTGCGCAGTGCCCCTCCAGCACCTTCTGTTGACAAAGCCGACTACTAACAAAGTATTTAAAGGCTCCATCCCCAGCTAGTCATAAAGCAAGGCAAAGAAGTGTGGGTTTGCAGTGAGAGATGTATTACTCACTTTCACATCACTAGGACAAAATACTCAACACCCACAATGTATAGGAGTTTTACTGGGGCTCACTATTTCAAAGGGTTCAGTCCATAGTTGGTGGGCTCCAGTACAGAAATGGCAAGGTGGAAGGGCCTGGCTCAGGAAAGCTGCTCAACCCATGACAGCCAGGAAGAGGAGGGAGAGAAAGGAGGAAAAAGAATATTTGCCTCATATGCTGAGATCCTGGGTTCAATTCCCAGTACTGCAATATATGAATACAATTTAAAGGCTTATGCATTAACAAAAGGCAGTTCATGATTATTTGCCAAGTGAATCTGGACAGTAGTTGCTGTAGTTGTTTAAAGAATAGATCATTTCAAAATGGGAGGTGGTCAGAGAAAACTGTGTAAACTATGCTTGAGTCAGACGTGGAGATGAGAAACAGGACAGGGAAGTTTACATAATATAAACTAAGTTCTGAAGCAGAAAAAGGCTAAGCACAGAAAATTAAATTCATTAACCCCTTTCATTTTCTCCTTAATGGGTATAAAACTTTGCTTGCCTTAAAATTCAGAATGATTTGGGCTCCTCCTTCCCCAGCTGCTCAGGATTCTATTGTGTAACAGGAGGAGCATTACAGGAAACCAAAGGAGTTTGAAGGGATGGAGGTGGGAAGCGCTGTTGGAAGAGGAAAAGGTGGCACTTGGTTTTTCTGTCAGTCACTGTGGCTTGGTCAGCTCTTATTTTCCAAATTTCTTGTGGCTCCAGTAGAACAATGCAGTAGGGTACATACATTTTAAATTTAAAATAATATACATAGACAACAAAAACTGTAAATGAGGCGTACTAACACAGTTCTGTGGACACCACTGTAAAGCTCTATGCTGTGCTGTGGGGTTGTAGCTGTTGTTGTTGTACATTCTGTAGATGAACGGAAGAATAAACCCTACATCTATATTATAATAAAGCTTTCCTGTTCATAGTACAGCCCAGCTATGGGAACACACCTATTTGTGAATTCACGTGCCTGTCTGAAAATAACTAGAGGCATTGAAAGATAATTATCAAAAAGGGTAAATTCAGCATTCCCATACAGATACAAAATACATATTAAAGATGCTGTTTAACACAGTAATGAGGAAATTGGTGAGGTGTTACCATCCATTCAAAGGAGACTTGAAAAGGATACCTGTACATTGGGAATATTAAAATGAATATAAAGGAGGCAAACTGGCCTCTTCCGCAGAGGGGGAGGGAGGCCAGCAGAGGCTCCCCTGGGCAGAATTTGCATGTATCAGTTACCCATAGCTCACAGAATTGTAAACCAGCTCCACGGAATCAGAGCCGGATGATGCGCAAGGTTGCAGATGATGCTTAGTCCATTAAATGTAGACTGTGGGCAATATATAGTTCTCCCCTGGAGCACAAGTTTCTCCCCCAACAATTTCCTCTGTTCTGATTTTTTTTAATGTCAAAGTAATATTTCTCTTGATCACAAAATAAGGGTGGTCCATCAGATTTGGCTTGATTATTTACATAGGCACGACAACTGGATCTGCTATGTTAAGTTTGTTTTACTGGAAACTGTTATTGGGGAATAGCAGAATGGACTTGTGAAGGCCTCTATTATGTGCCATCCTGAGGCTGGGAAATCAAGCCTGAGAAACTGTCTCCACCAAGTCCCAGAAAGGCAGATTCCTCTAAAAGTATCGGTCCTCTAGGCTCCAACACTCATTTTAATTGTAACTTTTAACCAAGGCACTTTTTTTTTTTTTTGGTACTAGGGATCAAACTCGGGTCCTTGTGCTTGCACAGCAGGCGGCAGAACCACTGAGCTAAACCCCCGGCCCCAATAAAGGTACTTTTTATTCTCTGTCTCAAAGAAAATCGAGCGAGGCACAGTGGTGTATCACCAAACTAAAGGCAGACAAGCAGAAACCAGCCCACCCACAAAGCCAACTTCTCACAGGCACGCCGTCATTAAGTGGCCAAAATTAACACGTTCATCAACAGATGCAAAGATGTAGTACCTCCACAGTAATGAAAATAAGAAGCAAAAGCATATAAACTTTATGCTCAGCCATCAGTGTTTCAGTATTTTATCTTATTAGAAATGTATTTAGTGAATTTATATTAACTATCTGAATTTAATACCAATCTAGTGTTTGTGTTGTTTTTGTTTTTGAGACAAGGTCAGGCTGTATAGCCCAGGTTGGCTTCGAACTCACAGTAATCCTCCTGCCTCGGCCTCTGGAGTGCTGGGACACCACATGTGGCTCACCAATCTAGTGTCTTAAATTGTATAAAAGTATTAGAAAATTATCATCAAGATGACATAATATAAGACATAATAACTGTTGAAGTTAAGCACAAATTTATATTGTTCAGAGTCTTTTTTGGTACTGGGGATTGAACTTGGGTCCTTGTGCTTGCAGGGCAGGTGGTAGAACCTCTCAGCTAAATCCCTGGGCCCTTAAATGCTAGGTAGAAGCAATGAGAGATTACTGGATCTTTATAACCTGTATACGTTTATGAAGAGCATAGCAAAGTCAAGTGAAACTGTGTGCTTCTAGTGTACTATCACTGATAAACCAGAAAAGTTAAAGACTTATCTAAAGTATGGAAAAGCAGCTTCATAAAATGTTTCTGGGCTACACTCTATAAAAATACTTTTCCCCTGAAATATCAGAAATTTGATTTCAGTATTTTGGGAGAATTTCAAGAATATTCAAATTACTAAAAGCATATAATCTGATTGGAATAGAGATCCTCTAAAAACTATAAACTAACTTACTAGTACTGTGTGGAGGTAAAGAGACACTACTGTTTACATTTAATGCTTTCCTGAGCTCCAGACACAGTGATACAGGCACTGATAGAGATAGCGTGTAGCTCAAGAGTCAGAAGTAAAAACAGGACTCGCCTGTCCCCGTCTCGGTGCTGCCCTTCCCAGTGAGCTCCACGTCTTAACTGATTTGAAGCAGAGATGGAAAAATATTAGCGGATGTCCTGTGTCTGCCACTCAGCAGAGTAGAGATAAACCATTACCCATCCACGAGATGAGTTCAGGCAGTAAGTCAGAATGCCATCACCGTGGCCACAGGTGGTTACTGGCCATGAACAGGCCAGAGTGGAAACTGCAGAGAAGAAAACTATGATAAGAAAAACAGAGCACCTGCAAGCCAAGAAAAGAGGCCTCTCGGCGCCTCTCTCTACGCCATTTACCTTCATTGGGTGACTGCTGGGCATCTTGCTGGAAGACTTCCAAATCTGTCAAAAGATCATTTTTAGCCAGGTGTGGTGGTGCACACCTGTACTCCCAGCACTTGGGAGGCTGAGGCAGGAGGATCACCATGAGCTGGAGGCCAGCCTGAGCTACATAGCAAGACCTACCTCAAAAAACAAAAGTTAAAAATAAATAGATCATTTTTAGAGGAAGATAAGCTAATGACTCTCATATGTATGTAAAAGTGAACACATGTTGAAGATTTTATTTAATTCACTAACAAGAAACTGGTGAGGTTCAAAAACATGTCAGAAACATTGTGCCACATGTGCAGAGGGGGGCCCAAGGGACCTTTCTCCAGTGAGGGCGATCAGTCAGACCCCCCTTACATGTGTATCAACATTATAGAATAGCCTTGTGGTCGATCAGCGACAGATTCAGAGTTGTGAAAAGCTCCAAGAGAAAGGCAATTGGGCAGTGTGGAAGAGTGTACTGCAGACAGCCATGCAACCCCATGGAGGCCGCCTTTTCTACTGGAGTAGCTGTTATTTACAGCCAGGGGACCGAGGAGGGTTTGAAAGCCAGGAACTTCCCTAACTCTGACACAGTGGTGGGCAGCTCAGACCAGCTCTGTGAAGACTGGCCCACTCTTCTCTCTGCGGGGCAAGTTACCAGACACACGTGGGGCACACGGGGACAGACAGCACGGTTTAGAGGCAGGACTGGAGATGCTAGCCATGGTGTCCAGTTTCTCTAAGCTTCTGTTTTCCTACCTGTGAAACTAGAAGAGTAAAACTTACCTTACAGCGTGAATCTGCAGATTAAATGGAATGTGTATGAAGTATTTAATGCAGTGCTTGCAAACATTACAAGTATTTTACAAATAATAGCTGGTAAATTTTAGTTTGGTGATACACTATTTATTTTGGAGGTATACTAATGTTTAGGGAATAAAATCACTCTGATATTCTTTAAATACTCATGGTCATTTCCTCTCTCTCTCTCTCTCTCTCTCTCTTTCATTTTTTGAGACAGGGTCTCACTATGTAGTTCAGATTGGCCTTGAACTCATGGCAATCCTCCTGCCTCAGCCTCCCGAGTGCTGGGAGTACAGGCATCAGCCACGACACCCAGGCTCTTTTCTAAATAGACATATGAAGTCCAATAATTACAAGGCTCCTGCACATTTGATATACTGTGATTAATAAGACATTATTTTATTCTATGTTCAAGTGAACACTTTTCCACATACAGATTATAATATGTAAGCATACACATATGTCCATGAGCTCATTACAACTAGGATCCATCCCACAGTCTGCATTCACACAAAACCAGTGAGTTGCCCACCAATATGAGCTCCTGGATTGTAAATCAGGCTCATCGTAAATTGATTTAACTGATACCATCTACTCCTTTGGAAGCTGTTTAGGGTATTAAGATTGTGCTTGTGTCCCCTCACAGATGATTAATTATGCACAATCTTCCTTGAATTTTCTCATTTTTTGGAAAACTGTACTCATAAGAGACTGAACAAAAACAGATAAGCCCTAGGAAGTAACAATTAATAGCAACATGAGAAGTATCTGTTGATCCAGTTCAAATGTTGACTCTTCTACGTGGCTGATGACCTCAGCATCTACTGGTACACATGGTTCAAGGCCCTGTGTGCGCAGGGACTGAGAATGTGGGCTCCGGGTTGGAATTCCTACTGCATCAACAATTGGCTATACAGCTTCAAAAGAGTAGAAACCAACCTCTCAGTTCTTCAATTTCTTCCCTGTAGAATGAAGATAATAAACTAGCATTTAGGTTTACTATGAGAATAACATTAAATGAGGTGGTAGTCTTAAAACGCTTGGAACAGTGCCCAGTACCAATAAGCACTCGGTAAGTGTAGGCTGCTTTTCCTGCCATGATGGAGGAGCCTGGGGGGGTGACAGTTTGGGTAACAGGCTTTGAGGTTGTGCTGAATGACCCATGCCTTTACTTTGTTGTAGTCAGATGAAACCTTGTCTGTTTTTAAGGAAGCCCCAACAGATCCTGTCAGAGTGCTCAGCTGGCTCTGAAGAAACCTGGAGAAGAGCACAGCAGAGTTCCAAGACGCTAGGTTCAAACCTGGAGAACCATCCATTGGTGAGGAAATTGCCAACCCCGGAGACCCGCGCAAAGGCTTCTCTGTGGACTATTACAACAACACCACCCAGGGCAGTCCAGGAAGATTGCATTTTGAGGTGACTCACAAAGAGAACCCTTCCCAGGCTGGTAATGGGAGTTCAGTAGACAAAGTCTCCTTCTACACAAACCGCCTCACAAATCTAGTCATAGCCATGGCCTGCAAGGAGATTAATGAGAAGATCGATGGCTCTGTAAAAAAGTGTATCCACCAGTCAATGTATGTTGGAGATGAACCCACACCCAAGAAAAGCCTGACCACAGTCGCATCTGAGTTGGTGAATGAAACAGTCTCTGCATGTGTCAAGAACACTGACCCCGACAAGACCCCCGGCTCTGGAGACAGAGCCTCACAATCACAGAGTCCCCCAAATCTGAAATACAGGAGCATTGTAAAGATCAAGGAGAGCACCAAGGAAAGCAAGTGTCCAGGTGACAAGCCCGCTTCTAAGAAGTCTTTCTTCCATAAGGAAATGATTGAATCTCAAATTTTGGGAGATGCCAAAGAGGGTGGGAGGTCCTTACCTGGGGAGAGAAAGCTATTCCAAGGGAAGGAAAGGCCCAATGACTTCACACCTTCTGTTAGTCAAGGGATCATGACCTATGCCAATAGTGTGGTGTCCGATATGGTGTCCATCATGAAGACACTGAAGATCCAAATGAAAGACACAACCATCGCCACCAACCTGCTGAAGAGAGTCCTGATCAAGCATGCGAAAGAGGTTGTCTCAGATCTCATTGACTCCTTCATGGCTAGCCTCCACAATGTCACAGGAACCCTCATGACAGACACAGACTTTGTCTCAGCTGTGAAAAGGAGTCTCTTCTCTCATGGGAGTCAAAAGGCCACTGATATCATGGACGCCATGCTGAGGAAACTCTACAATGTGGTGTTTGCCAAGAAAATCCCTGAGACTATCAGGAGAGCCAAGGACAAGTCCGAGAGTTATTCCCTCATCTCCATGAAGGGAACAGGTGACCCTAAGTGCCGGAACATGAACTTTTCAATGAAATCTGAAGCCAAATTGAGAGAAAAGATGTATTCCACATGCAAACCACAGAAGGAGAAGACATGCATGGAAACTCTAGGTGAACACATCATCAAAGAGGGACTGACCATGTGGCATAAAAGCTATCATAAAGAGTGTAAATCTCCGGGTCCCAAGCATGCAACATCTGCAGCACCCAAGGAGCAGGACAGCCCTACACCAGACATTCCCTTTGAAGATCAGGATCCTTGCAACCTCACCCCCACTCTGCACCATCCAGAAGATCTCGAGAGTTCCATGTGTGATTCAGACTCCTGGGCCAAGGACCTGCTTGTTTCTGCCCTACTTCTGATCCAGTACCACTTGGCCCAGGGAGGAAGAATGAATGCACAGAGCTTCCTTGAAGCTGCTAGCACCACCAACTTCCCCCACAACAAGCCCTGTGCAGCTCCCAATGAGTCCAACCTTAAGTATCCTCATAAGGGTTGTGACCAAGAGCAATCAGGAAAGAAGGATCTCATGAGTGTTTTCTTCAACTTTATCCAGAACTTACTTAGTGAGACCATTTTCAAGAGTGACCATACTTCCGAACACAAGGTGCAGGTTAAGGAAGAAGGTGGCAGCCAGTACGAAAGACCCGTGACCCCTTGTTCTGCCAAGCCATGTGAGGACAGTGAGGCTGGAGGTCCCTTCTCTGAACTGACCAAGATGTTCACCAGCCACGTAGATGGCCACATGAGTGGGCAGATGGTGGAACAGCTCACGGACTCGGTGATGAAGCTGTGTGTCATCATTGCCAAGTCCTGCGACTCTTCCATGGTAGAGCTGGGAGATGATAAGTGTGCGGATGCCAGCAGGTCAGGTTCAGCCCTCCCAGAGAGCTTATATGAATGCTTACCAGTGAAGGGCACAGGGACAGCAGAGGCTGTCCTGCAGAACGCCTACCAGAACATCCACAGCGAGCTGAGGGGTTTGTCGGGACAGCTGCCTGAAGGGTGTGCGGCCCCCAAGGTGATTGTCAGCAACCATAACCTAACAGACACCATCCAGAACAAGCAGCTGCAAGCTGTCCTGCAGTGGATAGCGGCCTCTGAACTCAATGTCCCGATTTTGTATTTTGCTGGTGATGATGATGAGGGGATCCAGGAGAAGGTAAGGACAGAGGTCAGAGGGACTTGGAAAGGGTTAATTTGGACTTTGCATATTGTTTGCTTTCTGAATGGGAACAGAACCACAAAAAGGGTTAAATGGAACAGTCAGAACTTGAAGACCATGCCTCTAGGCAGAGACAATGAGTAGGTAAAATTAGATCTTACCCGATCCAGGACATATCAAAAGGAAAAAGAAAGGGTAAGTGATATTTTCTGTTTTCTGCTTTTATTAGTGGGAGTGCATGAATAAGGAGCTTCCAAGAGACTTGGAGAAGGAAGCAGATTAAGGTCTAGGCTTCAGGATGACTTTGGGGTAAAATAGAATTGCCCTGAATAAGGTGGAGTTTTGGGAAGTAGCACTAGGATGGGTTGAAAAGGGAGACGATGGGCTTGATTTACGGCTGTTTCAAACCTGTCACTAATCTCTGAAGTTGTTCACATGGAGTGAGGATGTGGAGGAAGTCAAGAAATAACACCTCTCTTGCCCCTACCCTAAGTTTGAAATCTGTTGAGAAGTGAGAGTAAAGGCAGATGGGAAGTTGACCTGTCACTGTCACTAATGATAAAGGCAAGTGTGTCTTCCAAGCCCTCGAACTCCCACCAAAGTCTCCCAGCGAGTCTCAGGACTGCACGCCCAAGGGACAGTGGGTGTGGATAACATGCACGAGTGCTCGAGCACTGCTGCAGAGTGGAGGGGAGGTGCTGGGAGCGTGGGGCATATCTGCACACCCCCCCAACTTCGGGTTATCTCTTGACTGTGAGAAGTGGCAGGACAGCCGGTCTCCTCGCCAGGCTTTCAATCTGTGAAACAGACCACTGTGTGGATACTTGGCAAGTAAAAATGAGGGAGGGAGGCCATAGTCCAGCCAAAACTTTAGACCGATGAGAACCTACAGAGCCTTCGTGTGTGCCGTGTGTGACGAGGGCATTGGTTCTGGAGTAGTGTTTTAAATCAATCCCGTGATCCGTGCCATGCACTGTACTTTCTGTTTTTAGACTGTAATATATGTATCTAAAATGAAGCCGACAGACTTTCGTCCACAATTCTACCCATTCTAAAGATAAAGACAGTCATCTACTATTTTACTAAAGGGAGAGAGCAAAAAGGCAGGGCACCAGAATAAACTTCAACTAATGAATAAATTCTCATTGAGCATTAGTATTAAGAGCAATTAGATGACATAAACTCCAAAAAACTACCTAACAATGACTTTTGGGGGAAAAGATGAATGTAAGCAAATGTCCCTGTGCTGATACAGGTGGCTGAACCTGGTGGCTCTGAGGCACCATGGCCCACTTCCTCTAAATGACCCTATTTACTTTTGGATAGGTAGTGTATGTACAGTTCAATGTCTAGAAGTGCACAGTGAAAAGGGTATTTCCTCATTTGTATACCCAGTCCTTTGCCCTCTCGAGAGAAAAAACCTGTTCTGATCTCTCTCATCTTTGTCTTTGGCATTTAGTCTGTTCAGTAAGTTTTTATCTTAGGTTTTTAATGTACTTTTTTTAGCTGTACATTTCCATTTTTAACATTTTTTTGGTTTTTGGAGACTTCATCCCCTTGTCTCAGGAATGTCCTTATGTACATCAGTCTCTTGTGTGGAAATTTCTCCGGAAAAAGCTCATGATACCTGGCCCACTTATTGGACCGTTGACTCCTATAAAGAGTAGAACACACAAAATAAAAACTTGGTTCCTTGAGTTAGTTTGTGGCCTTTAGGAGTTCAGATGAATGACAACACATGTGTACTGTGTTCACAATACACAGTCATTTCGGCTTTTCTTTCTCATTTTCTACTGCAAAGAGGGCTAAACTCAAGAGTCAGAGCCCTGGACTGCACTCTGGCTCTGAGAGTTACCAGCAGGTTCGCAGTGACCAGCCTGTCACTGGTGGGCAGTATCTCCCGAGGTCGGAATGTAGTGGGAGGCGCCTCCTGCCCTCATAGTCTAGGGCCTCGGGTCTATGGAACGTGGAAGGTGGCGTCCACCTTTCCTTGTTGGTCTCAGGACAAAAGTGGAGACGGCTTATGATACTAGTGTGTGCTTAGAGCTGTAGAATTCTTAGAAAGCAAGAACACTATTGACAAACACCTACGGGAAGCATCACCTTAGAGAGGAAAGAGAGGAAGATTTGCATCTTGATGAGAAATCACCTTTCGCATATCTTGGCAGGTGATCACTAGCCTCTTCTTTGAATGAAGGGTGATGTCACCAACTTCCAGTCTCTAATGGGGGGATTCCGGCCTTTGCTGGGGTCTTGACCTCCGCCACCCTCTCTCTGCTCTCCACAGCTGCTGCAGCTCTCGGCGGCCGCCGTGGAAAAGGGCCGCAGCGTCGGGGAGGTTCTGCGGTTGGTGCTGCGCTACGAGAAGGAGCGGCAGCTGGACGAGGCTGTGGGGAACGTGACGCGGATGCAGCTGCTAGACTGGCTGATGGCGAACCTGTGAAGGCGTCAGGCCGGGCCTCACATGCCGGGCCGGGCCTCGCCGTCGGCGCAGCCCCTCCCGCTGCCCTCCCCCGACATCTGCCAGTCGCTGACTCTGGAGATTTTCCTGTCCATGAGAGCAAGGACATAAATTAAAAATCACAGTGAAAGGGCTCCACGTGTTTGGTTTCTTGGAATCCAGTGGGTGTTAAGGTGGAATGCCTAAAGAACGAAAGACCGCAGCGGAAGGTGGAGGCGCCGACTCCCGGGCGGGGAGGGTCCCAGCATGAGCCACGTTCATCAGGAATTCATTCCTGCCTCTCATGAGCCCAGCCCCGCTCTGACCTGGAAAAGGCCCGGCCGGAAGGCGACCGGGTGATGGAGCGCTTGCCTGACCTGTGCGCCACCTTGGGCTCCACCCCAGCACCACAGAACTGCAACAGAAGTTCCCCAGACCCAGTTCCGGGGCCAGTTCTGTGGCTTTCGATGTTACTTGACTGCGAGCCCACGTCGTGCATGTACGCAACGTTTCCCATTCTCAGCTTCTCTGTGGAATTTTATATTTGTCATCCTTTTTACCTTCTAGAAACTTCCTCCTCCTCTGGCTAATTTTTCTATTTCTCTGTGTCTCTTGGGGGGCTCTGCTCTGTCAACTCCTTATATATTTATCTTTCCTGGGACTTTCTCTTGCTCCCAGGCTCATGCTGTCATCTTCCCTGGGGAACCTCATCCAAATCCATGATGTCACCTTATGCAGCAATTAAAATGGAAACTATGAAACCAGGTAGTAAAAAGAAGCAAGGCTAGGCTAGGGATTTAGCTCAGTGGTTCCAACGCCTGCCGCCTTTGGTACTGGATCCCCGGTACCAAAAAAAAAAAAAAAAAAAAAAGCAGCAAGGCTAATGGATGACCTTGATGATCTTACCATGACCTTGTTTGAATTCCTAGATTCTGCTGTGCCTGAAACCACGTCTACTCCTCCTGATTCCCCAATAATATAAAGCAATAAGTATTTCTTATTGTTTACAGTAAGTTGAATTCAGTTTCTATCATTTTCAAATAAGAATCCTGATGATATAAGCTGGCAGGTGTGGGCAAGAAAAAAAATAATAACGTTCTATTGACACCATAACATTGAGTACCTAAAAATATCCCGAGCGTACACTCACACCTAAAAGTGAGTATAGGCGTGAGGACATCCAACCGTCCCTCGTAAGACGAAACATGCCAGTTGTTCATGTGAATAGTTTTAATCTTTTGAAACATTTATGCATAAAAATGTGAAGTATTGTACAATATGAGCTGCCTCTAAAACAAATCATCGGTGGAAAGAAGCAGGACACAGCTTCAGCAAGAGTCACAGGATGGGCGGCAGAGTGCTTGTGTTTTGGGGAGAAGTCTTTGTGGCCTTGTTCTCTGGCGGTCACAGATGCCTCCTGTCCAGCAGCGACCTCTGGCCTCTTGTGAGGTCCTGCTATGGGAGACAGCTGGATGGTGTCCGTGATGTGTGGGAGAGACACCTGCTGAGCACTGGGATTCAGAGAGGGCTTAGTGGCACCATCTTTCATTTTGTCTGTAGTCTCTGCCGATCTCACCTGCAAAGGAGAGAGAAGGCAGAAGGAATAAGCATTCCATCTGAATTAGTGTGTGTTCTAACTTTCCATTAAGCTGTAAGCCACTTTGGGGAAACTGTGGTTGCAATGATGCAAAAGTAGTTCACTTGTAAAAGCACACTTTACATGCTAGGCATTATTCTAAGGATTTTACATTTACTAGTTCACTTGGTCCTTTCCACAACCTTACAGAACAAGCATTCTCATTTTCATAAGTAGATTGCCCAGGGGCCCACACCTGTTATGGTCAGGCCAGAATTTAATGCTAGGTAGCAACTCCAGTGACCTGTACTGTGGTGTACTGTATGTTAAAGATCTGTGAGATGCCACAGTCTTCCATTGGCAGTGACTCCACAGGTATCTATAGGGCACAAAGGAATGAACAGGGAGGGAGGTGAAACAGAATTGAGTACAGGAGAAAAATGGAAAATCCTAACGACAAGGGGCAGAAAGCAAGAGTTCAGATCAAGCCAACTTTCCTGGAGGATGAAAATCCCCAAAATAGGAAATGGCGAGCCAGTCATGGTGTAACCAGAAATGAGTTCTCCAAGGTTGAGTTCAGAGAAACTGAAAAAGTCCTCCAGAAGTGCCTGGCTCCTGGCCTAAGGAGCAGGACTGGCTGTTTGAGAAATGTACCTTTTGTACTTTTGGTGGAATGATGACACCCTTGAACCTTGTTTTTGCTTGACTCAGAGGGAAAACTGAAACTGGATTTTCTCAAGGTCTGGAGCCTGGGCCATGGCTTGAGGTTCTGTGCCTCATGAATCCAGGCATGCTTGAGGGCCTGGTCAGGGGTCATGCAAAGCGAAGATTCCCACCTGCACACCAACGACAGAGCCCAGGATGGGTTATTGTTCTACTCCCCTTTCTAATACTACAATGGTTTTTTAATCCAATAAAGATAGTTTTCATTTAAGCTACGTCATATCTCAAACTACAACATACAATTTTAAAGTAACTGAAACAACTATTGGAAATAATCTTTTTAGAAAATCTGCATAATGAGCCAGGAATATATTCAAGTTTTGTTAGAATCCCTAGAAAGAAACTTTATTTTAAGAAAAACAATGGGATTTAGAATTTGGTAAGATAAAAATAAATTCCCAAACTATGGGATCTGGGCTACCAAATATATCACAAAGAAAATTATAGAATTTCAGTATAATGTATTAAGTTTTATAAGGGAATTGGATATAAGTCAGGCAAACTTCTAACATAGTAACAAAATACATTTGATAGAACTCCCAACACAGAATCACCCTGCCATCATCAATTAGTATTGTGACAGGGCTAACACATCCAACTATTTCAGTCTTGAAAACCCTGATTCTTTAGCAGTTCTTCATTTTTTTCATTTTTATTGAGCCAATATTGACCACAGAATATTTTACCAGGTCTTTATTCTACTCATTAGTGGCATATGAAATAAAATGACTCATCCTTCTTTTATGTCAGTCTTTCAACTACCTGAAAATGTTTATATCACCACTGTTGATCATATGATACGGCTTCTACCCTCTGGCCATCTTCTAGGATAGGAAATTCAATCTGTGGCCCATCATGCTGGGACTAGCTCCCAGCTGCAGGGAGAACATATGAGCTTTCTAGACTCACGGAGGCCACAAACAAATCAAGATCCCAGTTCTTTGTCACATGCACTGCTGTTAAACTCCTTTTCTCTCCTGGACTTTCAGAGTTCTTCTACATAAGATTACACCCTTTTGGCTCATGTTTTAGTCTCTCATATAAATGATTTGCCATTTGCAATGTACAGATTAAGTAACAAGCCCCACGGGCCTCTTACAAGTTGTAAGCCACCAGTCCTTTGTCCTAGAAGAGACCGTGTCTTTCTTGGTGTTGAGCTATGTTCTGCGTGGTTGGGTTTCCGGACACCCCCCACTCCACCCCTCCCCACCTTGGTTGTCAGGTTCTGTCACTGGGAAAACACATTCATTCTGTAGGCTCAGCACGAGACTAGGGTGGCATATGGGTTTAAAAACAGATCCTTCCCTATCTCCCCTATTAAGAAAAGAAGCAGAATGGCCTCCCATGGGAATGGTTTCTGCACTAGCTGATGCTTTTTACCCTCTAAGTTTGTGCCCGAATTTCAGAACACACAAATGACAAAGGAGTATTTTGCAAAATTACTCTTTCTCACTAGAAGAATGAGAGAATACAAAGATATGATCTTCTAAAAATTCTAAACAATTACAGGATCTTACAGGTACCCTAAGAACATCCCATTTTATAGAAGAGGAACTGAGACCCAGAGAGAAATGGTGGTTTACTAAATGTCACATGGTTAACTTGCTTGTATTCAGTGGAGACAGACTTGCAAAACCTCTTTAACAATAAAATAGTGAAACAAAACAAAACAAAAAAAATAGTGAAACAATAGCCAATGTTTTCCAAACACCTAAACTGGACATTGCTGGGTGCTTTGTGTGCCGATTTCTTTCTAGTATGACTTGACTAAAGCACAGCACCAAATTTCTGGTAGCACCAGATTCAAAATTACATGTAGATTGCAAAATGCTGTGCATAATAATGCTTTAGAGCTCATTCTTTCCCTAGTTCCCTAATGCAAGACCATTTGAACACAGAATCCTAGAGGCATGGGGAGGAGTCCTGAGCCAGTGTTGCTGGATATTCGAGCCCACAGGTCCCCTGAAGGTGGTCACTTCAGTTCAGGAAGCAGAAGACACGAGGACTTTCCGGTAGGCCTGCTCCCCAGCAGCTGGAGGCCAAGAAAGCAACCAACTCTGCCCACACATTGTGTAACCCAAGGCAAATCCACCTCTTGGAGCCAAGCCAGCTCATCTGCCCTGGTCCTTACACAACAGAAGAGAGTGCCGTCTGATTCGGAAGAGAACTGGAGGCTCTAAAGCTCCACCTTCAATATTACAGCCAGCCTTTGTGTAATGACTGCTCTGCCGAGACTAGATCATTAAATGGCTTAGTCTCTACCTGAGGAACTGTATGTAGTGTGTACAGTGCAATATTCAGAACAAAGAAGTGGTCAAAGGAAACTCCAACTGCAAGGCTTTGCTTTTATTTGCGTGACTCTTACGTGCAGGGCTGTAATGTATGACGGACCTAAAACTACAGTACTGCACAGTGCAATCAGCAAAAATTACAGTACTGTATAAATAAGGTGTACTCTGCAAATAAAAGACAGCAAGGCTCTGTCAATAAGAGGTACAGAACTGTACAAAAGAAAAAGAAGGTTGCAAGTCCAAACAGTCGTTAAATGAGGACTGTCTGTATTGTTACTTTTATAACCCTTCCCTAGTCTTACAATTACACTAGCAAATGTGTGCAAAAGTGTACTACTTCACAGGAATCCCAGAGGCAGTGGTACCCAACAACTCACACCAAACACCTTCTGAGAAAGTCCAGGAAGCTGGAGTCACAGGTTTTCAGCACCATCGTGAGATCCTTGGAGTCTGGGTATCTTTTTTCCCCCTTGTTGTTGGTTATATTTTTAGGAAAACCTTTGGGGTCTTAGAAATACAACATTCTGACTTAGTTCCAGGTGTAAATCTTCACTGGTCACATCACAGCTGCCCACTCAACCATGCTGCCTGCTGAAGTGATCTTTGCTGCTCCATTGCTCTCTGCTCCATCTGTCCGCCCTCCCACCCATCTCCACAGACAGGAGCCCCAGGCAGATTACCCAGGAAGCTCTATGGACACTGCAAACAGGTTCTCCTCCTCTTCCATATGCTCTCCACTCAGTTTAAATGGTTCAATATGAACCAACATAAGCTTATAATGATAAAAATGGTGATTATGATGATAAAACAAATCTAAATATAAAAGCGGCTCTGGATAACCCTTCCTGGGTTATCTATGCTTTTGTTCCTTTCTCACTAGCCCAATGAAGTGAATATTGGGACATCCAGAGGGTATTTTACAAAGAGGCTTTGGTGAGTACTTTCAGAGCTCATGCACAAGCCATACGAGCAAATTAACCTCATTCCTTCTTTAGTGTCACAAATTTTACTGTTCAAATGGCTTTCTTCAGGCAATTCTGCTGATTAAACTCTTTGCCAAATGGCCCAATGTGGAATTTGTCATCCTTAAAAAGAAGCCAGAAAAACAGCTCCAAAAGTTTCCCAAGGGTGTTTTGCATGATGCTTTCAGGCTAAGACCATTCATTTTCACATTCAGATTCTTGCACGCATGTTCAGAAAAGCTGACTGCTTATGCTGACACCGTGTAACTCCTCATTTAATGGGGAATGTGCATACATACGCACACAGTTTACACGTTGAACTGAATTCTCACCGAACTCAGAGAAGTTCACAAAAGGCACATTCTAGAAGGTGCATAATGAAGTTCTGCTATTACTTCTGTAACCACTGTAATTTGCAGGACATCTGCTCTTACTAAATTCCTGGGAGACATCCATGAATGTGAACATGAGTGAGTGTGTACATATACCTATGGGTGCCTGCACCTGTATGTGGACAGAAACAGGACCAGAGGAGTTGTGCAAGGCCCGTAAACTCTTACACACCCCACTTCCCCTCAGACAGTGGCACCATGCTCCCACTTTGTCAGAATCAAGCTCACAGCCCTATAAATAACTCCAGAAGTGGTCTTTATGTAATTGTTTATCTCACCCCTCTGGCCCTCGCCATATCGCCTTTTTCCCTCCATCTCCTGCCCCTTGGAGCACCTAAGTACTGTATCTCACCATCCTTGAGGCAGCTTTGCTGTACTGCTTAGGAATATTAATCAGTAGTGGCTGGGGTCTGGGAAGCTGTTAGCCAAACTCTGGGAAAAGGAGAATCAAGACCTGAAGAGGTGCAATGTTTTCCAAACTCATCTTGTCATAAGAATCATAAGGAACTGTTATTAAAAACATGGAATCCTGGGCTTCACTTCAAACCAGTGATATTGTAGGCCACAGAAAATAGCATGGGAATTTGCATTTCTTCCAAGCACCCAAATGATTGTCATAATCAGGTGAAGTTTGAGAAATAATGGAGATGACGTGGCTCCCAGCAAAGCCCTATCTTAGGCAGGAAAAGCTGGATGTGGTGGTCCAAGCCACATCATCATCCTGAAGTTTAGACCCAGTGGTAGAAACCAAGCACTCTATGAAGCGGGCATGTGAACGTCTTTGGTATCTTCCTGCCAAATGCACTCTATTCCCTTCCCCCTGTTCCACCTTCAGTGCTCTCATGAAATCAGTGTTAAAGAGTTAGAATGTGACTTTTCCTCCCAAGTCTTTTTTACCAGAAGGGAGAAGCAATATCCACATTTTACTTCCTCTAAACTCTTCAAAACTCAAAATGCTTAATTACATAAGCGGCTGGTTGGGAAAAGTGTTTGAGATCAAAAGGCCAGTTCCATCGCTCCATGTATGTTACACCAGGGAGGCAGCCAGTCTCTGCCTGTGCCTGACTGCTCTGAAGAAAGGTGCATATGTGGACACTATTCTAAGAGAGCCAGGACACTACTCTACCAGTGCCAAGGCCTTACAACTCTGGTAGGGCTCAAGGTTCTAACTGTTTACCAAACGATAGAGAAGATGATGGTATAACTCCATGTGGCTGAACCAGTACACACTGAGCAGCATGACCAAAACTCTTTGTCCTAGTGGCTCCCTTGTGTAAATGTTTTAACTCTTCCTACTGATGGGGCCAGTTGTGGGAAGCTATGTGATTGACCTGCCCATTCGAAGGCCATTCTCAGTTGAAAATAAGAGTGGGAAGGCTAGGAAGATTGGAACTCTGACCTCAGTGGCTGATCAGAAACATCATTCCAGATGGCAGAGAGTCCCTATCTGTGGATTCCCCTCTCTTTGCATCTGGTTTGTGTACACTTGGATAACCTTCAGGCCACTATGGATTTTTCTGCTTAGGAACCCCTTAGCTTCTTGTGATTCTTTGAAAGGATTTCAGGTCTGGGACTTACTTATTGGTGTATAGGGTCCTTGGAAGCCCTACCTTACATGGTACCTTGCTGTTCCACCTGTCCACCTTGTACAGATAATTCACAAAGAAAGACGGGATCACAGAGTCCAGAGTTTGGGAACTGTGATGAGAGGGACATCATGGAGCTGTGGGTGAGGTGGAACCCCAGCAGACAGACAGATGACCCGTTCATAATTGACCAGCAACAACACACCACAGCAAAGATATCTGGACAGTCTTTCTTTACCCATTTTATACCACAACTGCAAGGAGCCTGGGACAGCAAGAGCCTGGAGATTAGGAGACAGTTAGCAATAGAGAATAATGTTCCATTAATGCTAAAATACAACTATGGTGCATAGTGAGAAGAGGCAAGCTATTTGGGGAGGCAACAACTTCTGTGAGAGGGTACAGTTATAAACCCATTCTTACTGTGACTTCCTCCACCTCAAATTCATCATGCCAATTGGTACCACTTTTCATCGCCATTCAAGCTGCTCATCACAGCTTTCTCTTTGTATGAGGCTGGGAAAAAAGCAAAATCACCGAGTTTAGGGTATGGGAGGCGTATGGGAGGCATCTACCAGGCCAGAGACACCTCATTAAACACATTGGAACAAAGGAAGTTAGACCCAAAGACTTACCAAAGAATGTCTGTCTCCTGGAAGCCGTCTGGATAAAGTGGGTGGGTGGCAGGCCCAGCACCTTCAACAAGTACAATGAGGTTGGTTCACTCTTTGTGGAGTCATAAAGTCAAAGGCTGTTAAGAGCTAGGCAGATTTTGGTTAAACTCTGCCTTTTACTGTGAAGGTCCCAGGGATATTAAGTAGTGACATCCAGTGAGTGGACAGCAGACCCAAAGCCTATGTCTTTCAACTCCTGATCCAAGGCTGTTTCTTGCCCTAAGACTGAACGGTGCCCATGTTACTCTACACAGTCATCAGCACCCTGGACAGCGGCCAGGCCTCGCTGTCAGATGCCCGATCACAATGGATTAAAACGGCATATCACAACGCGGAGCACTAAGAAAGGTGAGGAGGGTAAGGAGACAAAAGTCAGCAATGGGCATCAGACCCTTACAAGATAAATGTATTCTTGGGAAGAAAAGTGTAGACCCGCCTGATCACTTTCCTAACTTGCATTTTGTAGGGGTTCAGAGAGACTGAGAAATTACCGCGGTCACCTTCAGCCCTTGTTCCCAGCCATAATCCACCCAACCCTGCCTTCCTGCTCCTCAGCGCCACCTGAAGTCAAGAGGAGACCAGGTCAGCCTTAGGGCCCCCAGTCTCCGGGGCGTGAGCAGCAGGAGTGGGTCAGAGACACTTCATAAAGCCACCCTGTCAGCCTGAGAAACCATCTGTCCTGACCCCTCATTTCCCAATCTAGAGCAGGGAAGTGCTGTGCCGAAAGACAGGGCCAGAGCTCCAGCTCAGGTTCATAGCTCCAGGCTGGCCTTCATTTCACCATAGCAACATTTCCAGCCCTTTTTCACTAAATGATTTTAATACTCTATCAGAGTCTATGAGTGAATTGTATATCTATATTTAATAATTCTTGTATTATTCTACCTTTATCTTTGAGATAATCTGGAAAATAAAAATTTAACATACACACATATATAGAATAGATAGATAAAGATCTTTACTTGTAATCAAAATATCTTTGTTTACTTAGAAAACCCTAAAATGTGAAATTTCCAATTTTTTTAGAAGATTTTTCCCCTTTTTCTCTAATTTAGCTCCATAACAAGACCCTTAATTAAGAGAGTAACCGTTAATAACTATATGGTGAGTCTTGACAGCCTTTTCCTTGTAAGATGGTCTTCCCAGAAGGTCAAAACCAGGTAAAGACAGTGAGTTAGCACTATGGATTTTTTCTGCCAGATAATTTCCTGTTATTTGCTTTCAACAACATTGTGATCAAGTTGTCAGATAATAAGGTTGGTGAAAATAATTTCTGGTGGCCTATCACCATTTGATTATTACTTCGAACACAAAAGGGGCTACAGCACAAGGCAACAGAGCAAGGACAGGCTTCCCACCCTCCTGGATTCAGGTCTGTGTGTCGGTCAGCATGTGGATGGCACTGATTCTGAGCTCATTCACCAGCAAGAATACTCACCTACAATACAGAAGTCGACCAAGAAAAGAGGAAACCCCACTCTTCATTTTGAAAGAGATGTGTGCTCAATAAAATTTCACATTTTCTGAATAATAATTATCCATACTTGTGCACTACCTAGCTCTGTTTTAATGATCTCATCAGGAAAAAAATTCATACCCATGAGGCTTATGGTAATAGGAAAAATTTAAAGTTATAGTAATTGACAAAGGATTTCAAAATAAAATTATTAAGTTAGAGTATAATTCTGTGGAGGAAGTAGAATAGAAAAAAGTTCATTCAAGGAGAAAAAAGAGCAAAGTACAAGGTACAACTTATTCACAAAGTTTTTAGATGGATTTTCATAGGTGTCAGGTCATTCCTTCTTAATTCTCAGTAATACACAGGACTGGTATAACAATTTTGTTTTGTTTTGTTTTGTTTTTTTGGTATTGGGGATTGAACTTGGGTCCTTGCGCTTGTGAAGCAGGCACTGGAACCACTGAGCTAAATCCCTGGCCCAGAATTTTGTTTTAAATGTCACTATTAACAACAAGGGGAAATGCCATCCTTTGGAACTATTTAAATTTATGGTAAAAATGTTAGTTCTCAACCATGTATAAATGGTATATAATTTTAGAGTTACTTGTAGGGAACAAGAACCCCAGGAGAAAGGCAGTATGCAGGCTGCTGTCCTTGCTGAGGCTGCCCCAGGCCCCCCGGCCTGGTGCCTGACCCGGCAGCAGCCCCCTCACCTCCATGATGCAGGCCAGCTGCTCCACCTCCTTCTCCCCAGCGAACAGCAGGCATCCCGTTTATAGCTCAGCCATGATGCAGCCCAGGCTCCACATGTCGATGGCCATGTTGTAGGGGTGGCCCAGGATCACCTCGGGGGAGAGGTAGAACTGGCTCTGGATGTAGGTGTACACTGACGGGCAAAGAGCAAGACCCGGTTCGGGAAGGGCTCCCCTCCAGATCACTGTGCAGCTGAGCATGGCTCACAATTTACTCCTCTGCCTCCATCTCGTCAGCCTCCAGCTTTGCAGAGAGCCAAATGCCATCCACCGGCACTGAGCCCCGTCACTCCCCAGGATCATCCAACCCTCACAGAGCCTGATTACAATGCAGACACACTATCCCGCACTATTCACAGGGAGCTCCTGGCAGGCATTGTTACTGGGAGATCAACTTAAATCAACCAAGTTTAAAAAAAAACCATGAAACTAATATAAACTCAGCTTTCAAAACTGTCAGATTAGCTTTGGGTAGACAGCTTCTGAAAGTACCACAAGTTAGCAAATGAGAAGGCACGGCAGATTTGGCTAGAAGACATGCAAGATATGTAATTTAAATTTCATGTGTATTCAATACACTATATGCATTTATTGGATAACAGGAGGTATAGAAACAAACCCTCCACAAAATCTCAGCAGATGAGGATATATAGAAGGCAATATAGGGAGCCTAGATTTTATGGAGGAGGAGCCTGAAGCCTGAGGAATGTGACATTTTGGTTATTTCCAGATAGCTGATTCCTGATTACCCGGGGAGGGGGTACTGTAATCACTTCTCTGTTGTTTTAATTGGTTACAATAAGGACGTAATTATTTTGTAACTCAAAACAAAGAAAACATTTGTGATGAAGACTTTTATACATCCTGCTTGTCCCAAAAGTACCAGAGGTACTTTGCAACATGCACAGAGTATTTTAGAACAGGAATTTACGGGTACCAACATAACAAGTGGCAGCCATTATTTATTGCAAGGGTTGCTTTCAATCCTTACAATTACCCTATGGAAAAGGTTCTGTTATTGTCTCCATTTTAAAGGTGAGGAAACAAAGACATGAAGAATATGATGAATATTTACATTTTTAAAAATTCATTACAGGGAAAGGCACAATGCCATTCATCACCTTCAAAATACTCCCCCTTGCTTCAAACAAATGTATCCCATTGCTCTTTGGGGGTTGTCTTTCCAGTCATTAGTTGTGCTATCCTGGCTGACTCAATGTCCTGAATCCATTCAAAATGTTTACCTTTCATGGTCATTTTGACTTTGAGGAAGAGCCAGAAGTCACACAGTGCCAGATCCAGTGAATAAGGGGATGAGGACAAACAATAGTGTTTTTATTTTACGGCAATTGCCATAAATATTTGATTAATGAGTGATCGAAAAATAATGTTCACATTTTTAAAATGTACTACAGGAAAAGTCACATTGCCATGAATCCTCCTTAAAGTACAGATAACTCGGTTGGAATTCATTCCGACTTTGTGTTCAAACACTGAAAAGTTTGAGAACGGAACATATTTTTCCCATAAGAAATAATGGAAAATCAAGTAATTGGTTCTAAGGCCCCAAAATTACACTTATAAATTCACTTTCCAGGACTTTAACAAATTTCGCAATGATTTCTTTCTTTGGCTCTATGGTGGTTCTCACAGCTTCCTAAGCTAAGAGAGCTTTACTGCTGGTATCGCTAACTTTCTTTGGAGCCATGGTTACGATACTTTATGCAAATAAATAGCAAAACAACAAGCACAGTGAAGACTGTTTTAAGGCACTGACACAGCGCCACGCGCTGTCTGGGTGAGAGCTGCACTTAGACTGCAGCGTCTGTGACTCACTCTCGCCTGCACAGGTTTTCTCAACTTGGACTTTCCATTTCACTACTGAGCAAAGTTACAAAGACTGAGCAGATTGTTTTCAAACTTTGCTGTTCGAGTAGTGGCTTCATGTTCACAGAATATGAGAACAGTAAAGCGCCCTTATAATACGTGAACCCAACCTGCTCATTTTATAGATGAAGGAACTAAGGCTCAGAAGGGTGAAGCACGTTGTTAAAAATCATGCTGGCAGCACTGACGGCTGGGCCCAGGCTAGAAGCCCTGTGGCCTCGTGCAAAAAGGGAGAGAAATCACCATGGAGCTCAGACAGGGGCTGGCATGGAGCCTACCTTTCTGGTGTTCATAACAGCTTGCTCCAAAGTCAATAACTTTGAAAGAGATGGGGCCCTTTTGGTATAGCACTATGTTTTCCTAGAAAGAAAAGACATATGTCATGTCTATTAAAATTAATGTTGCCACAGGCTCTCTGCTTTCTCACCCCCTCATTCACTGGGTCTAGGGCCATGCGACTTCTGCTCTTCCTCAAAGTCAAAAGGTAAAGATTTTGTGTTGATTCAGGACACTGAGGCAGCCCAGCCAGGACTGTACCATGGTCTGTACTGGCATTTGCGGCTTTGCAGTGCGCTTCTACATATATCTTGTCTCTTTCCCACATGCTGTGTAACTCATGCAGACTGTGGGCATCTTTGTATCTTCTCTGACACCCGGTGCTATGCCTTGCTTGCATAAGGCCTTAAAGAAAGCCACTGGCTGAGTTTGTTTGAAGGCCCTGCTGACAAGCAGCTGTGACAGAATGAGAGTAGAGAACCAAATCGACAAGAAGGAGGCAATGATTTGGTTGGAGGTGTGGTTCTCATCTGACTTTGGGGAGCCCCAGGCTGGCTGTGTCAGTAGCATGACAGATGGGAAGGCAGAGCTCCTAGGCTCTTCTCTCAGTGTGATGTGCACTGGCTAAGATCAAAGGATTAACCCCGATTGCTCTCCTGGGACCTCAGACCATATGAGTTGATCTTCCCCTGGGGTTGCCACTGATACCTGGTAATGCACATGGCTCTCCCAGGGCATGATGAGAGTCAGACAGATAATTCCTTTGAGAGAAAGACTGAGAAAACCAACTGTCTCATAACCACTGTTTTCTCCCTGGGATGCAGGAAAAGATCCTGGCTAGATACTGGTGTTCTGGCTCAGACAAGTGGTTTATGACCCCAGGAGAAGCCTAACTAGTCCTTCACTGCAAACCTCTTTCCCTGGACAGGAAAATCAAACTAATAATCGGGTGCTGGCCTCTGAGAACAAAACTTCAGGAAGACTTTTCCACTCTAGCATTAAAACCCAAGATCCCAAGCCCCAGGATAAGTCTCCAAGGAAGCACAAGGTGCCTTTGACAGCAGCAGGTGTGACTTTGGGGCAGTGGCGGGGGCAGGGTTGCTGATGTCAGGGTGTCGGGAGCCGAGCTGAGCTGGGCTGTAAGGGGTTGGAGTGTGGCTTAGGACACAAGCCCAGACAAAGGAGCTCGAGCCTGCACCCTACTGTGGCTGTAGAAACACAGGTGAAGTGGGAGTGAGCCCTAGCTTCCCATCACTCCACTTCCCCCAGGCTCACAAGGGCTGAGGGACAGATGTGTTAATGCAGACAGCAGGCACTGTCTCACTGCCTGGGAACCCAGGCCAAAGGCTCCTGCCATTCTGTTGTCTCAGGGACAGGGCACAGTGAGAGGAAGAAGGAGGCATGAGCAGGAAAGTACTGAGTACAGACTGGCGTGTTTGGGAAATCTCCCTCCCCCTCGGTGGGCAGAGGTGACAGAGGCTGAGCCGGGCTCTGAATGGGTGCAGAGGTGCAAGAGGAGCTCACCAGAGACACGTGCTCTGGCTGCGCCCAAGTGCAGTGTGGGAGGTCAGCTGGGCCCTTCCCCGTGAGACCTGAGAGCTCACACACAGGAAGGACACAGGTGTTCCAGCCACGAGCCTGGCTCTTCATGAGGTCTAGAGACTCGAGACTTCTTAAGACCCAAGGCAGAAAATGGAAGTCACCCGAACACCAGCATGTCCCAGCCCCGTCCAGCCTCGCAGCTCTTCTGCCACAGTGCAGTAATTGAAGTCGCCCATCCTTCTTAAATGATCTCAGGTTGATCCACAAGGAGATGGCTTCAACTCTGAGCTGGTTCTGCCTTTGCAGAGGTGATATTTGCTGCCTTGGTGTTCTTGGCCTTGGTTTTGTCCCCTGAACAAGGAACATGCCTTAGTTAGCTTTACACAACCGCCCGCCCACAGTGGGAAATGGATACCTGGTGGCCCACAACTCTTTCTTCCTCCTCAAGCTCCCTCTCTAGCTCTTCAGCAGCTGTCACATAGATGAAGCTCCTTCCCCAATCCTCTGGGAAGTCTCCAGTTTATCTACCGAAGTCTGAACTTCAGCCCCACTCCCAACCCTGCCCTGACACCAGACCCTGGCCTGTCCCACGCAGCATGGAGGGGCCTCGCAGGTCCCCTGGGGCTGAGGTACTCCTTGGCTCACGTCTGAGTGTGAACACCAGCTGGGCCTTGAGAGTCATATGGGTGTCACCTCCTGGCCCTGGACTTTACAGTTTTCAAACCTCTCAAGGTAGACCCGATGTACCATGATCACACATGAAGTTGGCAAATGCCACCCTAACAAAAGACTCCTACATTTTCTTATTCAACTCATAGCCCTTTGGGCATTAAATTCTCCTTTCCCTATGTTCGTGTTTTCCTTTTGACTTATTGAAGTAAGTGCAAAACCTTGGCATATATCCTCACTACATTTCTACCTGGCGAGATTCCTGATGTGTGGTCCCTCGGGGACCCCAGTTAAGGACAAGGTTCATGGACGGGCAGGGAGGCCACACCATCAGCACCCTGGGCAGATCTGCACATTGCCCCAGCTTAACTGACAATTTCGTGTTTTCCACAGAGGCCCTAACATGTTATAAGAAACAGCTGTCTCTTTACGAGCAAAGTGAAATCTTGGGGTACGCAGAGCTGTGGTTTCTGGGACTGGAGGCTGAGAAGCTGAATGTGGACCCTGAGAAATTCAGCAAGACAAGTTTTGATGATGAACATGGCTCCTACATCAAGGTGATGAAGACTGGGTCACGGTGACCTCAGGGGCTTGGGGCAAGAGATGGGGGGGATATTTCATAGCATTTTGTGTTGATATTTTGGGGACTAGGCATCGGAACAATTTTACTGGTGCTAAACCAAAGAAATACCACGTTTAAGGGATGGAAGAATGTGCAATTTAGTATGCAAGATGTCCTGCTAAAAGAACACTGATTTTTCCCCAGAGGTATTTAAGGCCACAGATCTGCACCCTGGGTGAGCTCTTACAGGCTCTTCTGTGCAGCCCTGGAGCCCTGGAAAAGGCCAGGCTGCAGGAAGACGCAGCCTCCCCAGCACCCCTTCTCACTCCCTCTGTACTATCCCAAAGGTGGATGCCTTTCCATCTCATACTGGATGCTGTTTCTCCCACAAAAGTAGTGCTTTTTGAGTCACTAGTTCCTAGTGGGTAGCACTTAACTGCATTCCATTTTGCAAAACTTGATCCCAACACCTCCTTTCTCTCCTAACTGGACCTGTGGGGTTGCCAGGGAAGTGCCTCTTCCCAGGCTGAAGGTGAGAGCTAGGCAGCAGTCCCCACTTCTGAGGGTGTATGGATGAGCAGTGCTTGGTTTACCAGGGTGTGAGCTTTCTAGAGTTTCCTGTGTGGACATTTCATCACAGCTTGGCTCTAGGAGAGAAGATGAGATGGGTTCATAGAAAAGGTAGCTTTTCTTAACAGCAAGCAGGGCTAAGTTTCTCTATCATTGCTATACACACAAATGCTTGCAGGTCTTGGTAAAATGCAGGTTCTTATCCAGCAGGACTGGGTGGGACCCGAGAGTTTGCATTTCTAGAAAGCTCCTGGACTTTAGTGAGGTCTTCACTCTGAGAACCAAGAGTGAAATTTTTTCAGCCTCCATTTGGAGCCCAGAGTCTTAGCAATTTTAGATCAAGGATCCATTTGGAAACCCAACAGAAGCTATGGGTCTTCATTTCAGAAAAGGCAACCTGCACATCACAAACCAATGGGCCTTGGTTACTAATGTTCAGTAGAAGCCTTACCTTTAATTTAGCCAGACATCCCCAGCCCTCCCCTCTGCTCCTTCTCATGCTCTACCTTGCCAGAACCTGGAGCCTGGGATGTCCCTAAAGATGTCAGTCGCCCTAGGTGAGTTCATTGGTACCAGTTGCAAAGTCTCAAGTCTGAGGTATAGTTTTGGCTGGAAGAGAGGGATCATGTGCTCTCTGTAATCTCCAGATCTTCATCCCTGCTTCATTGCAGTGCACACACAAATGCACTATGCAGGCAAACAAGCAACCTGGCTACATTCTCTTTTTTTGCCACATTCTTTTGTTTATTTTGTCAACAAATGTTAATTTTATTGAGCACCTGCGTAGGCTTAGGCATCTGGTAGGCTCTGAAAATGTAGAGAGCTGTCATAAATGAGACAACGCAGCCCTTGCCATCAAGTGATCACAATGAACAGAACAGGTGATATGTGAGCAGATGACTATGAGACAACCAAGCGGTGGTATGAGGAGTACTAATTCAAGGCTCGGAAGACACCGACATGTGTGCAGGCTGTGTCCTAGTCTGCTAATTTATGAGTAGGCTGACCCACTTCCACATACCAGTAATGTTCATGCTCAGATAAACAGTTTTGATTCCTCCACTGTGTGAAGATCCCAACCCCCTCCCATTCACACCCACAAACAGCACATCCTGGAGACTTGGACACAAACACTCACTCTTCACCTCTCCCACACTCAGCAGTGTAACCCTGGAAATCAGAGATGCGCAGAGCTTGAGGACATTAAGGTCATTTTGTCCAGACTCACACTTCGTCTTTACAGGCACAGGCCCTGCAGCTCAAGGCAGGGAAGTGGCTTGTCTGGAGCTACCTGACCAAACTCTTCAATGGAAAATTCCCCGTGGCTTTGTTTGAACACTGCCTCCCTGCTTTCCAGAATGTGGAGAGGATTATTATTATGGATTATTATGGCTTTTGGAAAAGATTGCTCTCACCAAGCTCTGTGCTACTAATGCAAGTATAGAGTTAAAGCTAGACAGGTGCAGGGAAGCACCAAATCTGGCCAAGAAGAAGCAGAGTAGGAACAAAGCCTGTGGTTGAGGTAGGGCCAGAGAGGGAACGTCCCCCAAACTGGAGCAGAATCGCAGAACTTCCAGAATGGAAGGGACCTTCGGTTCTGTCCAACCCTCTTATTCACAAGTCCTAAAACATGCAGCAGACTAGCGGACTGTTACTAGACCCCAACTGTCTAAGGACCGTGCAGTGTTTTTAGTACTGCTGGACATGGATTCAGCTTGCAGGGCCATTCCCTGGTGCCACCTGGTGGCCTGGGGTCCAGGCAGCGGCCTAGCTATTGCAGTACCAGTGAGATGGGGCTCAGAGTTCAGAAAAGTCTCTCCAGGAATGAGCCAGGAGCTGAAGCTGGGGATCCAGGGTCCCAAGGTCAGAGAAACCCAAGAGCCTCAGACTCCTTCTCACCACCAGCCTGGGTTCTGCAGGTCCTGCACGACCACATTGCCTACCGCTATGAAGTTCTGGAGATGATTGGGAAGGGGTCCTTTGGACAGGTGGCCAAGTGCTTGGATCACAAAAACAATGAGTTGGTAGCCCTGAAAATCATCAGGAACAAGAAAAGGTTTGGCTCGAGGGGTGGCCAGGCCTTGGCGGAGGGAGGGCCTTGATCTCACTGCTTCAGCAAACCCTCTCCAACTCTTCCTGTTTCCTTTCCCTCTTTCCCTCTCTACCTGTTTTATTCCATGAAAGGGCAAAGAGGAAGCAAGATGGTGCAGTTTTAGTGCTTCCTGCCGCCCTAGACAGTCTTGTTGGGGGTGGGACCGGGCCGAGGAAGCAGGCCAACTGCCGCAGAATGACGTCTCCGTCCCCCTCTGTGCCACGCCCCTCATTGCACATTTCAGCACCAGGCCCTGATGGAGTTGAAGATCCTGGATGCTCTTGGAAGGAAGGACAAAGACAACACCTACAACGTGGTACACATGAAGGACTTTTCTACTTCCGAGGTGCAACCACCCCTGCATCACCTTCGAACTCTTGGGGTCAGTTGCTTTTACTTTTTAATTCATTGTGTTTGGAAAGTTGCTTAAGTGACAGAAGAGAAACTTCGAGGTTGCACTCTCACTTTCAGCGGATGACAGTATTTAATGATTAGAGTGGGCGTAGCAGCCACCCAGTGATCAGGAAGTTCCGGGAGCAGGAAGGCTGGGACGGAAGCTGCTGTCTCACCCACCCCTCAGGAAGCCTGTCACCCGCCAGCATACTCGGCCATGCCGCCCTGGTGCTGAGTACCTGGAGCCAAACTGAGCCGTGGTGGAGGACTTTGCTTTGCCACCATGTTCCCCACACATTGGGTTCCTGGCCCTGTACAGAGGCTGCAGCCCAAAGGAAAAGGCAGCTGGTTGCTCAGAGTGGGAAATAACTTGAATTTTGAGCAAAGAAAGACAAAAGCAGATATTTTTATAGAAGGGGAAAATCCTAACAAATAGACTGGTGTTGCCTGGCTGAGGACTGGAGAGGAAAAGTCATGTTAATATGGAAGGACGAACTTATTTGATTGCTTTTCCTCTGAGACCGTCTGGTGCCACTTAAATCAAACCAGAAACCCAGAATGCATTTACCTCATCAGAGGAGAGCAATCAGGGTGTCTGGATGCACTGAGCTGACGGTGTGTGCTCCCACAGCGCCGGGGACCCGCCGGACTGGACCAGGAGGGGGCGGGTGTGCTCTTCTCTGTTCCTGGTGGTCACACAGCGTGGCCTTCTCTCCGGGACGCAGAGGTGAATCATTTTCCAGTCTGCAAAACAAGTGTCCCCGGCTGCCTTTTGGGCTGTTAATGACCGTGCCCACTAGGGCATCGCTGCACTTGAAAACACTGGGTGAGGAGGTGTGTGGGGGGAGAGCCCTAAGCTCATGAAGTCGGGAGTTGCCCGGGCACAGGCGAGCATGGAGCCAAAGCCGGGCCTCAGTGTCCACCTCAGCTCTCGAGGGAACGAGGGAACGGCTTCCTAAACCCAAGAGCCACTTCTTCGTGGAGAGGCAGTCAGGAGTCACAGGCTGCCGCCCTCTCCCTGCTCACAGCAGTGCAGAGGTTTTAGTTTCCACCACCTGCAAGGCAGCAGACCTCACGTACCAGAGCGAGCTTCTGTTTGGGTAACATCACGGCCTCTGCCACCCTAGAGAATCGAGGCCTGTCTGGCAAGAGCCGTCATTCCTTCAAGGCCACAGAAGGAGGGGACCAAGTGGCCGCCTGTCCCTCTGGTAGAATAGGGGCTCCCTACTTGGCCTTGGCTCCCATCTGCCGGCATTCTTGTTTTCTTACTCACCAGGGCCGGCAGTCCCTAGACAGCCTTACTAGGCCTGCTTGGAGTAGCTGTGTAAGTAACTAGGAGGCTTCCCGGGTCCCTCCCAACAGTCCTGAAGAAATAGGACCGCAGAAGTTTGGTTGAGTCTCTAGCTAACATGCATACCAAGCATTTCTGTGGCCTTGTAACAGGAAATGAGGTTTTGTCTGAGAGGCCAGCATGGTTGGGCTGTACCCTGGGCTACCATGAATCAGTGAGAGGGAGCCCTGCCCCAGGCTGAGCTTTACCTACAGATGGCATGGACTGTCTGCAGGCCATGCTGAGCATGTCTTTCACACCAGCGCACATCACTTTGTCTCCATCCTTCCCAGAATCAACTTGTACGAGTTGATGAAGAACAACAGCTTCCAGGGCTTCAGTCTGTCACTGGTTTGGCGCTTCACCCTCTGTGTTTTGAAGTGCCTACAGATGCTTTACGCAGAGAAGATCATTCACTGTGATCTCAAGCCGGTGAGTACCCACTGTCCTGCCCAGGCCAGGTGCTCCCCATGCCCTTGGGGCCCAGGACAGCCAGCAGGGCCAGGGCGGGAGCCACGAAGTCCTGTTCCAGGCTGTGGGAGTACAGGGAGGTCTGAGGGAGGCAAAGCAAGATGCGGCATAAGTGAAGCAGCCAGGGAAAGGGGCATCTGGGGCTTCTGTAGAAGGCAGACTGGTGGTGATTGAGCAGCAGCAGCCTGTTAGAAGCCTCTCTTGACTTGTGGCCCCTAAGGGCTCTCCCAGGGCCCAGCATTCTCTCTTGTTTGCTCTGCAGAGAAGCGCGCCATGGGACAGATGTGGTGTTGAATTCTCACTGCAGACTTTCTACTCTACTTCCTGTGCTCACGGTGGTGTGGCCTTCTTGCACGTCCTGCCAGCATCGTGCTACATAGCCCTGTTGTTGCACTGACTGTTTTGTGCAGGAGTTGCTTCTTCCCTGTGTTCCCCACTGAGCTTGAAGTCCCCCCGAGGTCAGGAGCCCTGTCTTTCCCCCATAGGTCCCCAGGACCTAACGTGACACCTGCCAATAGAAGGCAGTAAATGCTTGGCTGAGTGAGTTGATGATCGCACAGGTGAGGTAGCTGGGGGCAGGGCATGAGCAGCTGGCTGAAGAGCAACCCGACACTCACAGATCTGTAACTATCCTCAACTTTCCCTTACACCCATCTCTCCACTCCCAGAAATTATTTTGCAAAAAAATTGATTTTTTTTAAAACCGTCACTCAGAGAGTAAAATTTGGAATATTTTTGTAATTAAAGGTTGTCAAAATACTTGCACCGATTTTCTCTCGTGGCCGTCTGGACCCTTACAGGGATGGTGGGGAGCATCCATGTGTCCTCTGCGTCTGAACCCCGGTACTCCAGCCCTCGGCTTTGCCGCTCTGGAGGATTATCACAGCCATGTGTGGGCTTCAGGGGCTGCTTCCTTACAAGCCACTTAATGCCCAAACATTAATCAGATGACAGATTTCCTTGAGAAATAGATCAGGTGGACTGAGTATGTGTGTCCCCTTGATGCACACAACCAGGGGCATGGATTCCAGCATCGGGGAACTCTTCTTGCAGACTTAATGGTATGGATGAGCTCAGCCTGGCCATTGTGTCCACCCTTTCTGCCGATGGGATGGAGGTTGGGAGGGTGTACGGCAGCTTCCTGTCCCTGTAACAAAATCCCAGGGGCAAGCAGCTTAGAAAGAGGAAGGGTTCCTGTGGTTTTGGCCCACAGGCAGCTGGCCTTGTGGCTTTGAGCCTGTGATGGGCAGTACATTGTGGTGGGAGGCATCTGGTGGGCCAATGCTGCTTGCCTCATGGCAACTGGGAGACAAGAGAGTAGGAGGAAGGGGCCCTGCCCAGTGTCCCCTTCAGGACACCCCCAGGGATCCTCCTACCCTAACAGAGGGACCCTATCTGCTGAGGGAGCCTCATTGTTGGGTGAAAGGCGCTAGATTCCTGCTGAGCAGCCTCCTGGGGATTAACCTTCTTCAGCCAAGGCACTGAGGCGACATTTGCATCCTCCTAGTCTGTGGTCCAGAGACTTCCAACCAGGACGGCCATGCCCCACATGCAGTGTTAGGGGCTCAGTAAGCAACTCACATGATCACAAGCTCAGGGGTCCCACTGATTCTGCATAAGGGTAAGTTGTATAATTATTTTATTGTATATTGCAAAGTAGTTACATAAATAAAGTGCATATTAAATCTAATGCCCTTGAATTGTCCTGAAACCATCCCTGTCATTGGTTTGTAGGACACTTGTCTTCCACAAAACTGGTCCCTCCTGCCAAAAAGCTTAGGGATCTCTGCAATATGGTATCCCAGAAGGGATCTTAGATAAAAAGGACATTAAGTAAAAATGAAGGAAATCTGCATGAAGTATGGAGTTTAGTTGATAATAACAGATCAAAATTGGCTCATTATTTGTAACAAATACATCATCCTAATGTAAGATTTTAGTAATAGAGGAAACCAGGTAAAGGGTGGGAGTATTATATGGGAACCCTTTGTGTTCTTTGGTCAATTTTTCTGTAAATCTAGAACTGTTCTGAAAACAGTCTTTTATTAAAACAGATAAAAGTCTTGGGGGAAAGGCCATGTCAGAAGGGCTGTCACTTTTGACATAGTATATATTTATTCCACATGATCCAAAGGACAGAATCTATAAGGAAGTCACTCTGGTTTGATAGAGAGCAGAACTGTCTAAAGTCTAGAGCTGCTCATAAATGGAACAACAGTCCCTGTGAGGCCATGAATACTCCATCACTGGATGGACCAGAATCCACTGGGGAGATGTGCACGGAATTGGGAGCTGGGCAAGACAGTCTCTCCAAGGTTCCCGTTGCTAAGACTTGTTCAGGTGACCTCTGAGAATGAATGCACTTTAACACAACCTCAATATAGTTTGCATCTGAAAAGTCCCGTAAGACGCCTGTGCTGATGGCTTGGTACCTGGTTCTGACACTACTGGGAGGTGGTAGAACCTTTAGAATGTGGGTGCTACTGGGAAGCTGTAGGGTCATTGGAGAGGTGCTCTCAAAGGAGATATTCAGGCTCTGGCCCCTTTCTGACTCTCTCTCACTTCCCAGCACCTTTGCCCCACCACACACTCCCTCCATGATATGCTAGACTGCCTCACACCAGGCCCAAAGATGATGGGGCCAAGTGACCATGGACTGAACCCCTCCAACTGTGAGCCAAGAATGAGCCCTTCCTCTTTATAAGTTGATTGTCTCAGGCATTTTGTCCTGGGGACGGAAACTTGACTAATGCAACCATTCTTCCCTTTGTTGGTCCAAGGCTTAGACTGTTGAACAGAACTGTGCTTACTCAATCTTTTCACATCATGGCACATACAGAAAATTATATTTGTACAGCAACCTTGGATGAACAATGAAGGCAACTCACAGCCAGGGCTCCAGCTGCCCCAGGTCTAACCAAGCCGCCCTGAGGACAGGTGGTGTCGTCTGCACACCTATGGCCGGTTCTCAGCAGCCTGTCACATGGGTTTGTGAATTTGCCAGTGATTTGGCCCAGCAGCTCACTCAAGAGGCACACAATCCATGCCATAGCATTTCCTCCACCACGGCATCCCTGGGGGCAGGAGCAGGGTGTGTGAGCTCCCACACCCACAGTGGCACACACTGAGTGCTCGTAACACTGCCCTGCAGCCCTCACTGACTTCTAAGCCCACACACCTGGAGTCTCTGCAATAGTCCTGAACTCTGCTAAATCTAGAAGTGGCCTGGAAATGATTTTATTCCTACAGGTGCACAGCTTCCACCAGGGCTGTGCATGAGGAGGGCTGGAGAATGAGGAAAGCAGCAGGACCCTCAGTTCTTGCATTCATCACAGCTCCTGTGAGCTTCCTCAAGAGCCAGAGATTACCTGCGAAGCTCATTGGCTCTCCAAACCCTTCATGTGAACACACACTGCTTTTATGATGAAAAAATACCATTGTTTAAAAACAAGAGAAGCTGGGGATGGTGGCACAGCCTGTAATCCCAGTACTCAGGATGCTGAGGCAGGAGGATCACGAGTCTGAGGCCAGCCTGAACTGTACAATAAAGCTCTGTCTCAAAAGAAAAAACAAACTAAGTTATTATAACAGGTAACTACCAAGGGTCCAGTACAGTGATGACAGGAAAGGAAAAGAAGATAATAAAGGAACAGAGAGCACAGTGCAGGAGGAAGCCCAGACAGCGTGGGCCAGGCTGCAGAAGAGAGTGGCAGGGACCTGGGCTGGGAACCTCAGAGACTGGAAACAGGAGCCTGGGGTCAGCAAGGCTCTCCCCCACAGGAGCCCGCACTGGAATCTTGGGGTCCCTGTGGGGTCTTCACCTCCCATGGCCTCCGGGGACTGGGCACAGCAAGGTGGCAGATCAGGAGCCTCCAGGCTCCACTCCTCACCCGGAGCCCCTCCTCTGCCTCTGTCTCCTTCTTCTGAGCCAGCTGGCTAGTTCTTACTGGGCAGGACACTCAGGTTCTCACACTTGTTTTGTTTTCTCAGCAAAACATTTTTTGTTTTGTTTTGTAAGATAAATTCCATCTCAATGTTTTGCAAAAGCCAGCTTACCTTTCTTAAATGGAAGCTGAGTTAGATTTAAAAGCTGACAAGGAGAGAGGTGGGAAAGTTGAATCCAGCTTCCCCACCCCATTCCCACCCTTCACCAGCTAGTTACATGAAATGGCTGCAAAGGTGCCAGGCTGTTCTAGTCCCTGGGTCCTGTGACCCAGTGCTGCTCCTTGCCCAAAGCCATCCTGCCTCCCTAGGCCAGGAGGATACATGGACTCATGGGGCACTCGCTGAGCACACACGTGCCTGGCACAGGGCTAAGCCCGGAAGTCACACGGTCCAGCGCCCCAGTGGCACAGCCCAGTGAGCTGCATTTTTAAGGTTCTTCAGTGGTTTCTGGACTGCCACATTCGGCAGGCACATTCTCATGGTAATCCTCTTCTTCAGAATTACTCTCTCCCACCTCTGCACTTCTGTTTTATACCGTTGATATTTGTGAATCCTTTGTAATTTAAGTTTATATGAATTTGTCTTATCTTCCCCACTGCATGAAATTATATAGCAATTAACCATAGCCCTCCAGGATGTGGCAGCCCTGGGACACCAAGAGGGATCCCTCTGGCTGGCTGGTTCAACTGGTGTTCCCCACCGTGCCACCCTGAATGTAACTGTCCACGTCATCATGACAACAGCCAGGACTAGGCGGGGTTCACACTCAGAGCTAATCTTGGATTCGCTGCAGGTCTCAGGGTGGGAGCAGGGTCCTCAGTAGGTGTCATCCTCCTTGCTTGGGGTCAAGGTCCCTCGCCAGCTGCCTGTGGGTGTGATGTCCCAGAGAAGGGTCGCAACTGCAAATCCACATTCACCAACACAAGCTGACTACAGGAAGTGGAAGTGAGCATGAGAATGCTTTCTCAAACTTGCAAACTGTCACATTTGATTTCTGTCCTAGTCACTTTACTCACTGCTAGGACAAAATGCCTGACACCCACATCTTAAAGGAGAGAGGTCTACTTTGGCTCCAGTTTGTGGAGGTTCCAGCCCATAGTCAGCTGGCCCCGAGGCAGGTCGGCATGGCAGGGTGGAGGAGAGCTGCTCACAGCATGGCGGACAGGAAGCGGAGAGTCAAGGTGGGAGCTGGACCCTTCTGGGCCACCCCCAGTGACCTGCCTTGGTCCACCAGGCTTCCCCTCCCAACAGCACATTAGCTCTGAACTCATCAGTGGACTGATCCACTGATGAGTACCACACCCATGATCATCACCTCCCCAAAGCCCCACCTGTGAGCGCATGCGGCTTTGAGGGGTCATCTAGATTTAACAATTTCTTACCATTAGTAGCATAATTGGGTGAGAATAAAGATACCCCACCAAGACTGCCCCCTGTTATGGCTGTGTTCAGATGCCCCCCCAAAGCCTCATGCAGCCATAGATGGACCTTTTTCAGAGGTGGTTGGATCTAGAATGTGTGATGCTGGGATTAAGTGTGCGTGATTACTCATTTAGTCCACCGATTGCTTGGGTACTCATCGTAAGCCACATAGCCCAGACAGAATATGAAAGGAGCATAAAGAAGCTGCTATTTCCACTTGTGGCTTGTGGCTTACTTGTTTTGCTACCTTCTGCCCACCATAAACTGTTTCTCTTCTGCCATACCAACCTGGCTTGGAGACAACCAACTATGGACGGAAATCTCTATAAACCGCGGGCCAAATAAGTCTTTCCTCTTTTAACTTCGGGGTCAGTATCGTGTCTCAGCAATGACGCCCACCACACCCCTCACCCTTTCCCAGTTAAAGCACCCATTGTCCTGGTCTCCTTCCCTGCCCCATCCCCATCCACCCTCTGCTGCCCGAGTCACCTGAGAAACCAAACATGAACACCTACAGCGACACCCACTTCTCCCAGGGACTAGTCCCCTGGCACACAAAACCTCCTGGCCTCGTCCCTTGTCACGGCCTGCCTGCCCCGCTGGCTCCTGGTGCTGAGAAGGCCTGAGGCTTTCACGCATGCTGCTCACACTGCAGCACTGTTGCTGCTGCTCTGTGTCTGCCTGGAATATTCTCCTGCTCTCCTGGACCTGGGGAATTTACCCCGTGAGCTCCGTCCAGGAAGCCTCTGTGAACATGCCCTCCTGTGTCTGTAACCCTCACCCCCC